CGAAGTAGATTGGCGACAGACGATCGTGATGACTCCGGTGCTGAATCAGCAGCTGTGCGAGAGCTGCTGGGCGTTAACGTCGACGGATATCGTTAGCGTCGTCTGGGCGTTGGTGAATAATCAGTCGGCGCAGCCGCTGTCGCCGCAGCACGTGTGCGACTGCGCGGCGGGGCAGTGCTGCGAGGGTGGGTGGCCGGAGTGGGGGTTCCAGTTCATCCTCGCTAATGGCGGACTCGCTACTAGTGCGGAGTATCCTTATGTTGCGCACGGCAACTCCACGTGCCGCAGTATCGCCCAAGGAATGCTGAAGGCCAAGGTGCTTTACTCCTCCCCAACAACCCCGCTTCTACCATCCCTTTCCCACCCCCTCGCCCCCCCCCCCTCCTCCAATCGCCCCTGGGACCATATCCCTCCCCTTCCCTCCCCCCGTCCCACCCTCTTTCCACATTTAATTTTATCGTTGAGTGCAATCACTTTTCCTGGTTCTGTTTTCCAGCAACGCGTTGCGCAACAAACAGCAGCCTATCCTTTCTCGCCCGCCTCCATCTCTATCGTGTGGAACGACGCTCAAAACTCTTCCACGGGCTCCTATATCCCCTCTTCCTGCCTGGTTCGCGCAGATGACGGGGTGGGAGAAAGTGCCGGTTCGAAGCAACAAGGCGCTGATGAAGGCCGTGGCGCAGCAGCCCGTTCTCGTGTACCTCTCCTCGGGCACCAACGACTTCATTGTAAGCCCGAACCCGTTATAACAACGATACCTACAGTTTGTTATGGTCCACTGAATCTGTAAAAGTGCGTAACTTTCTAACTCTTTTTTATCATGTGTTTTCCCTTTTACTTCTGCACTTTTCCTTTTCTTTCTCCCAGAGCTACTCGGGCGGCATTTTCGACGGCGATTGCAGTGGCGACATCGACCATGCGATGCTGCTTGTTGGTTACAACATAACTGACCCGGACAGTTCGTACTGGATTTTGAAGAATACGTGGGGAACCAACTGGGGCGAAAACGGCTACATGCGCTTGAGGATGTTACAAGACGGGAACGGCAAGTGTAACGTGAAGAGCGAAAACGCGATTTACCCCGTTTTCTATGAGCGGAACAGCAGGGCGTGCGAAGTTATCACGCCGAACCCCTGCGGTGGGGGCGTGTGCGAAGTGCGAAGCGGCAGGGCGAGGTGTAACTGTCCCCCGGGTTTCGTTGAGCGGCTGGAGGAAAGTGCGCCGAAGTGTGTTACGGCTACACCGTGTGACGCTAATCCAAATCCCTGTGGTGTCGGGACATGCAATAACGAGTTCGACGGCACCTATACCTGTTCCTGTCCTGCGGTAAGTTGTCCTTAATCTGCAGCTAATCTTTCATTTACTTCCTCCTAGTCCTTAATCCCCTTCCTCGCAGTCCCTCGTTCTCCCATTCATTCATGGTTGTCCTTTCCCTCGCGCTCATGTCACTTCGTCGCCCTACGGGTACAGTCATTTTCTTCGCTCTCTGCTTGCTAATATTTCGCGTACCCCTCCCTTTCGCTACTCCCTTGCTCCTACCCAGGGCTCCGTGATTGGTTCCCGAACCGACCGTGCCATGACCTGCATCGTAGGCTCGTTCCAGTCCGGCCTGCAAACGTACACCGTGATGACAGGAGACACGTGCCAAACAGTCGCTGACACTTTCGGCTTCACTATTGAGTTCCTCGTTCAGCAAAATCTGTTCTTGGACTGCGATTTGCCGCTGATTCCGGATTACGTTCTTCTCGTCGCCGATACCGCTAATTTCACTTGGGGATGCTCCGCTATGGACATAGTCGCTCCGAACGACACCTGCTCGTCAATCGAGTCGCGAAATGGCATTTCCCACCGTCAGCTCGTCGCGATCAACCCGTCGCTGAATTGCTCCGAACCGCTTCCGCTTTCGCTAACAATCTGCACTGCCCCGGGCCGCATTTCTTCCAATTCCGCGATAATTCGCTCCTGCGGGAAGGTTCACGACTCGTCGCCGAGCGAAAGATGTGTGGATATTGCGAGGAGTTACAACATTTCGCTAAACGATCTCCTGTGGCTGAATCCTGGGCTCAAGTGTACCGATGATTCTCTCGGGGTGGCGGTCGCGGTGTGTGTATCCTCGTTATCAACGGAGCTTATTACTGTGAACTGTACCCAGTGGTATACAGTAACCCAGGGCGATACCTGTCCCAAAATTGCGAACGCTGTACAACTACCAGTGACGACATTCCTCCGACTCAATCCAGGCCTTAGGGTAAGAACCATCGTTTTATTTATTGAATTCTTTCTTTCTCTTTCCTTTTTCTCCAAATTGGATATTTATTGATACGAAATGTTCCTGTTTCGTCCCTAGTCTACTTTACCCTTCACCTGGTTACTCATTTTACACTTTACCATCTTGTTTCTCCCCTTCATTTCCGCCAGTGCTACGCTCCCGCCTTCCAAATCGGCCAACCCGTGTGCATCTCCGGGACCATCACCAACATTCAGAAAATCAAGCTCTCCCCCAACATCATACCATACACCGTCCAAGCCAACGACACTCTCGTTTCCATCTCCGCCGATTTCTCCTCCCGCTGCTCCAACGTCTCGTACCCCGCCTCCATCTGCGATTCAAACTCCCTTGCAGACTGCACCGACCAGGCGATTGTCGAGGGCCAGATGCTGCTGATTCCGTGTCAAAAGCTGGTCGGGAGCCAGATCTGCGGGACCTCGCTTCCCGTGTGTGGCTCCGATGGGGTAACATATGCGTCAATGTGCGATGCGGTCGAGGCGTTTGCGCTTCCCATCTCGCGTTACGACGTTTGTAATCTGTGTAACGACGGGCTCTGTTACAAGAGAACCGGGCAGAAACCGCCGAAAAGCAGCTGCGTGGCGCCGCCCGGAGTCTGCCCGTACCCGACCTGGAAGCTGCCCCAAGATTATATGGATTACTGCCCGATGATGTTCGGCAAACAGTGCGATTGCCTGAAGGTAAACCTTATTTTTTCTGTTTCTTTTTGTTTGTTTCTTTGTTTGCTTGTTTGTTTTATTTGTTTAATTTAGTTCTTTTGAAGCTTTGTTTTCTCTCTATGACTTTTAATCAGTGACATAGCGCTTCTGCAATGTAGCATAAAATGTGTGCTCATCCTCCTGCGTTTTTTCATAGATATGATGTGACTTATTCGTACCTTCCTTTTCTACTTTTCCCATTTTCCCATTTCCCCATTTTCTACAGTTCACGTGCACGTATTTGTGCACGCTATCCGCGTCAACATACACCTACAGCCTCGCCCTGGGCAACCTGTATCGCAACGCCACCATGTTCTACCCCGCGTGCTACAGTGCCTGCTACGACAACAACCTGCGAGCCGGCTGCTCTGAATGACACACTGACGAGATGACAAATGGGACTTGAGTCCTTTCAAAGAAACGCCCTGCGTGCCACAAGGCCTGCTACGACGACAACCTGCGAGCCGGCTGCTCTGAATAACACACTAAGGAGATGGCAAATGGGTCTTCAGTCTTTTACAAAAGAATGCCATGGGAGTTACAAGGCCTGCTGTGAGGCCAGCCTGCAGGCCGGCTGCGCTGTATGACTCACATTGCAGTGACAGCCTGTTGCTTGAGCAACGGAGTCTCGCGTTCCAGCCTGTGGCTGTTCCTCCTGTAGCCATGCTCGGGGCAGCCTGTGGCAAAACTCCACCCACTTCTCCCCTGCGTGCTACAGCAACCTGCGAACCGGCTGCTCAAATGAGACACCGAGGAGGTGACAACAATATGCCTCCAGTCAACCTGAAAGGAACGCCATCCGTGCTACTATGCCTGCTACACTGCCAGCTATAATGACTACAAGCGCTGGCAGGGCAATCTGTCCTTTGAAGAGCAGGCAGGCCAGCGGCAGGAGATGGCTCTTGGGCCTCTGGAGATATGTTGGCCTTTGGAGAAGTGAAGGCAGTAAAGCTGCAATTATGTTTGCGGGGATGGTGGAGCCCTGTGCTGTGTTATGGAACCCTGGCAGGCAGCCAATCAGATGGCAGCTTGGGCTGGCAGCAGTGCTGTTTTGCATTGGTGCGTGCTGACAGCGTGTGTGGATGAAAATGGGGTGGCAGAAAAGGGGGTGAATTTGAGGGCACTTGGAATTAGTGTCAGCGTGGAGCCAGGGTTTGTAAGGTGTACGCAGTGTTCCGCACACAATCAGATTTTGGCGGTGGCTCCTCGCACATCTAACATGACTCGAATTGTTGGTCTCCTTTGTACAGTCAAGCAGCTGCGTAGTTCGTTTTCATTTGTTTGTTTGATTCTTTGAGTGCAATCTCTCTATTATATTGGCATTGTTTGTGCTAATCGAAGCATCAGGCTATACCTGGAGTTTTCTTTACAAGCAATAATATCCTGACATGCCCATCCAGAACCAAAAAATGCTTTATTAGAAACCGTAGTTAAGCAACAAATAGTAATCCTTGTCGAGGTATCTTCACAGCGTTTTTATCGGGTATGCCAGACCACATCAGCACCACACGCAGTTATTGCTTGCCCAGTTCAAACCTTATCCAAAGTTTCTGCTAATGGCTGCTGTCGCAGCCGTCGCTTGCGGCGCGCACGTCGCCGGCGCTGCCGCTCGTATCTCACCCCATCCTTCGCAAAGACCAGGCCTTCGCAACTCTTTGGAACAGGACCATTGTAGAAACTTTCGCGATGCGACTCGTGCTGCCACGCGACTGAACTACGCGACCAACAACACATCGCCGCGTCGTCGCAGATTTCTGAATCCGTTGCACCACGTCGTTTATTCAGCTTCGGCGATGCAACCGCGATCGTCGTTAAGAGAATTGTGCGATTCGGAACGAGAGCAGGGGTTGTTGGAAGAATGGGCGAATGAGGGAGTAGCGAATCAACTGGAAGGCGGAAATGGCATGCAACTAGTGGCACCTAACGCATTGGTACCAAATGTAGTGGTGGCTAATGCATTGCCTAATGCAGTTATCCCTGACGCATTCGTACCCCGACGATCAGCCTTAACCCTAATGCTAGCATGTGCCGCTTCCGTGGCGCTGCCTGGATGGACGATTGGGTCGCCTGCTGTCGCACAGGAGTCAGGTACGCCGATTGTGTCTCCTGTTGTCATACAGTGCGACGTTTGTGTCGCCTTCTGTCGCACAGCAGTCAGGTACGCCAGTAACTGACTTTCTTCAAAACAGCAATTTGCATTGGCAGTTGAGACAGCTAATGAATCGCGAAGAAGAGACGGGATTAATGCCCTTCGTATTCTGACAACCTGCAAAGCACCCGCAGCAGAAGCATCAGCAGCAACAGAAGCAGCAGCAGCACCACCCCTGCCACCAAATATTATCCTCATGCGCCTTTCCCCTCTGTTCCCAACCATCTTGTCTCCCCTGCCTGCAGACCAAACCACCACACGCAGCAGCAGCAGCAGCAGCAGCCACAGCAGCAGCACCACCACCACCCCTGCCACCAAGGGTCGTCGTAATTCGCCTTCCCCTCTACTCCCATTCCATCTTATGTCCCCTGCCTGCAGACCAAACCACCACACGCAGCAGCAGCAGCGCCCGCAGAAGCAGCAGCACCACCACCCCTGCCACCAAGGGTCGTCGTAATTCTCCTTCCCCTCTACTCCCATTCCATCTTATGTCCCCTGCCTGCAGACCAAACCACCACACGCAGCAGCAGCAGCACCTGCACCACCACAAGCACCAGCAGAAGCAGCAGCACCAGCATCTCATGCGCCCTTTCCCTCTACTCCCATCCAATCTTGTCTCCCCTGTCTGCAGAGCAAGCCACCACTAGCAGCAGCAGCAGCAGCAGCAGCAGCAACAGCAGCAGCAGCAGCAGCAGCACCAGCGGCAGCAGCAGCGGTGGGAACAGCAGCAGCAGCACCACCACCACCACAGCAGCAGGCGAGGACGGCATTTTTCGGCGGTATTACAAGCCGGACGGCACGGAGCGAGCCACCAACCCCTACTCCTTCCTTATCCCTCGTGGCTGGGTACCCGTCCCTGTCTCCCTGAATGACGCCAAGCTATACGGCCTGGACTCCCGCTTTGTCTCCCCCACGCCTGCTGCTGCGCTGGGGGGCGGAGGAGGGGCAGCAGCAGGGGGCGCAGGAGGGTATGCGAGTGTGGTTGACGTGTTTGTGCTGCCCGTGGGTGAGTGGGTTGCAAGCGGTTGAGTGGGGTTCAATCTGGTGAGTGGGGTTTCAAGTGGTTGAGTGGGGTTCAAGTGGGTGAGTGGGGTAGCGAGTGGTTGAGTGGGATTGAAGTGGGTGAGTGAGGTTGCGAGTGGTTGAGCGGGGTTGAAGTGTGTGCGCAGGGTTCAAGCAGTTGAGTGTCAGGGTTTAGGTGGTTCAAGCTGGCGAGTGGGATGGGTTACTGGGGTTCAAGTGGTTGAGTGGGGTTCAAAAGGGTGGGTGGGCTTCAAGTGGGTGAGTGTAGTTGAAGTGGTTGAGTGGCACTGTCTTTGTATTCCCATCTGTTTGTTGTCGAGTGAAAGTTCTCACAACCATAGCTTTCTCTTCTACTCGTGTCGTGTTTTGGTTCCTCATCTGTCCTGCCAAGTCTGGGAAATGGGGTGTAGCAGGTGACATTCTTAGTAGGTATTATTCGCAACGAGCCGAGTGGGTGTGAGTGCTAGTGTCCCTCTGTGTGCGATTCTCATCAGTGATCCATCACCAACTCAGTTTCACCCCTCAAATTGTAGTTCTATCCCTCTCACTATGGTTACCTCAAGGTACTTTCGTAGTGTTAGCATTCTCTGAACAGGCACACTGTAGGTCTCCTCCTTGGCCCATCTTTCCCTCGCTCACCACTTCTTCCTTTCCTGCCGGTTCTCTCCTTCCTGAAGCACCCTGCCCTTCTCCAGGCAAGACTGACAAGGCAAGCGTAAAAGAGAGCTGTGACTCCAACCAAGTTGTCAAATTGTTAGTAAAATGGTCAATGTTGCACTCCTTGCTCGTGCCCTCTTTTATCGGGTTCCTTCAGGCAATGCTGACAAGGCAAGCATCGAAGAAATCGGCGACTTAGAGGACGTGATAGGGATTTTTGGCCCGCCAGATCAGCCATCTCGGGTGGTCGATGCATCCATTCAGGAACGGCCAGCTGGCACTACGTACTATCACTACGAGCTGGCGTCACCACCGGCTCTTCTGTCTGCTTATGTATCTGACAGCCAAATTTACATATTTCAGGTGAGAGCAGTAGCCAAGATATGCACTGCATTTATCCTACCGTACTTGATCGAGCTTTGTTACTATGAACTGAAAATGTATGATGGATGTTTACTTATTGATTTTTTTTTCCATGATTTGATGTAGGTGAGCGCTCCTGGGCTGTCGAAGAGGCAATGGCGCGAATCGTTCTATCTGTTTGATGCCATGAGGGACTCCTTCACAAATGAAGCTCGTTTTTGAAAGTTAGTGTGATGATGTAGGATACAGGGTTACATGACAACATATTTGCAAGTGTATAGCAAGCCACTGGCTAATGTAACAAATGAGAAGGAACTAAATGTGTGAAATGTTCAAAACAGGGTATTTTATGATGGTAAGAGTAACAAAGGTTTAGTATAACAACACTTACACTTGTGTTGGAAGTCTAATACTAGCAGAACACCTTGTTGCGATTCTTCTCTGCTCATGCTGCTTCCTGCCTGCTGTTCACGTGGAGTAATCATTCTGCTACCATCATCACTGCCGACACGTGAAACGTCCAGCTCACAGCTCCGAAAAGCTAGGAAGAGCGACGGAACTCGCTGCCACATATGACCACCATTGCAATTGACAAACGCTTTTGTGGCATCAAACCCTCAGGGGCATGGTGATCTCCGGACGCGCGGGGACCACGACGATTCCGCCTGCTTGCGTCCCGCAGCGGGGATGGAAGGTGGGGAAAAGGGACCAACAAACCAGCTGTCACCAGGTCAGCAGGGATGCTCGCTTTTTCTCCACTTTCTTGCATTGACCAGCGTCAATCGGGATCCAAGTTGCTGAGCTCACTCCATGGACCCCGCAAAAAGGTGTCCTTTTATTGGTCACTGAAATTTCCTTTTCCTTCCATTCGGCCGTCGCGGTTGCCACGCTGTCACAGTTCCCCGTATCAAGTCTCCATTCCTGGTTCTAGGGATCTGCTCTTCCCAGGCCACAGTGGAAATTTTGTGATTCGTGCACTCTGCCCCGCTGTTTTCTCATCCTCCAGCGTGGTGTGGGAACGTTAGCCCCTCTGGTAATGGTTCTGCCCACGTGTGGTGGTGGTGGCCCCAAATACAGAGGTGATTGTGGTTTCGGGCTTTTCCCCGAGTCCCGAACCGAATCGGACGGTTTCGGTTCGGTCCTTGCGCAAGCAACAGAAAGGGCAGATGAGGAGGCAACCTGTGGCAGACTGCTCAGGGCAGAAAATGTGGCAATGGTTGCTTTGGGAGCAGAATGAACGCTCAACGTCGATGCGGGTGTCCGGAATTCGAATGTACGGCTGGATGTGACGGTCAATGGTGGCTCGGGAGTGGCTGAGGGAGAAAGCTGCTTGGGGAGAGGTTGTTTGTGGGGGAAATTCTTTTTATTTCCCCTCCAATCAGTCTGGGGCGCGGAAGAACCAATGTGTGATGTGATTCATGTGAATGGAGCAGATGTCGCTGTCAAAGTTCCATGTTTCCATGGTCATGGCGGTTATTGGGAGCATTCAGCAGCCATCACAGTGACAGCTCAGCATAACTGGAATACAAATGGGGTTGGTTATTCTTCTAAAAAAAGTTGCGGATTCGTCAAGCGGTCTGATTTAACATGAACAGGCCATCGCGCACCTAGCGTTTCTTGATTCCTTTCTCCGGTTGGTCGTTTAAACTTTCCCAGGATCATTAGTGGACGAGTTCTGGACGGCAAACAGGAGTGTGTGTTGGCGTGCAGGCCGAGCTATTTTATTGCCCTTCGCCTTCTCCTGGTTCCTCAGAAGGGCTCATTCCTTTCGCAATTGTGCCGCAGATACCGAATCGTAGCTTCCTAGATTGAAGCGGAGTTTGCGATCAAGATCCGCGTAACCATGGCTGACGCAATTCTATCAAGAAGTGTTTCGGCTCCTGTTTTGCCTGCTATCTCGGACGCAGACACCAAAACTCGGCAAAAAACGTCAAGCTGTCGAGTCTACAGGCCCTACGCCTCTTCGAAAACAGCCATGGGGAGTCCTTGTTTCAGCCCTCGTTCGTCTTCAGGTTTCCATCGCTCTTCCACATCAATGTCCCTGGAACCATTCCATCACGAAGACGGTTTTTACTGTCCAGCAGCTTCTCAGGGTGCTTGGGCTTTGACACCTTCTCCTGTGTCGTCGTCGTTCTCCGTGCCTCAAGGGTCGCAGATCCGTAATCGGGAACTGTCTCCAAGGGAAAATAGACATCAACAACGGCTGCGTTACCGTACAGTGTCAGAAATGGACCTCCCAGGTTCAACATCATCGTCCATGGATGCAAACGATCTGTCGTCGCCGATTCTGTCGACATCTGGCTTAACTTTTCCGGGTTTCAGCAGCCTGTCATCTCCGCCGCCTGAACTTAGAGCTACCAGCATGAAAGACCCGGACGAAGCATCTGGAGGAAGCGTAATCAATTCAGGAGCTACTGAGAATGAATTGCTGCGCGATGATGGATCATGGGGAAGGCCAGATCTGGGAGGCTGCTCCGAAGATGCAGCTTCAACGTCGGTTTATCCCGAGCCGAACTTGTCGTCCTCGACTCCACTGATGTTCGTCGCGCCAGCTTCCGTGTACACCTGCATGGAATCACCAGGATTCCTATTTCCCAGTTTCCTTCATGGAGACATTCACATCGAGCCGTGGCTGGGATCCATGAACTATCATGACAGCCCATCGACTCTGGGACCTGACAATGCATCGGACTATCCTGTCGGACGTGACGAACGGTCATCATCGGTTTCGGAGCGTGTGGATGGAGAACTTTACACTATGATTGCTCACGGACCCGGTGGCATGACTGTCGCGTGCAACGCTCACGGATGCCGTCCCATATGGACCGAAGACGCTGAGAATCGACCCAGCGAATGGATGGGTTCCAGCAGGACAGTGCCTGATAGAGCCTTGCCTTCGCCCGCATATTCCCAGCAACTGCCTGAATATCTTCCCCAGTCTGGAGAGTGCGAGGTTGGCTCTGTGTGCTTCTGCAGCAAGCCGATGTTACCTCGGCATCATCTCGGCGGTTCTCCTGAGGAAGAGCGCAAAGTGCAAGAAACGGATGAGTTGTACCGAGCATCCTTGGAGGAGGACCCAGACAATGCCCTCTTCCTCCGAAACTATGCCCAGTTCCTTTATGAGGTAAGCTTGGGTTGATATGCTCCACATGCTTATGGTTGTATCCACACAATTTCCCCTTCAATTTGTCACGCAGTGGATTCTGACCTGTCGTTTGTGTGTCCTTCCTGCCGTTCAGGTGAAAGGAGATTATTTTGCAGCAGATGCTGTTTTCCAGAAGGCCATTGATGTGGCACCCACTGACGGTGAACTTCTGGTGCTATACGCGAAGTTTCTCTGGGAAGGAATGTGTGATGCTGAGAAAGCCTCGTCAATGTTTCAGCAGGCAGTTGAAGTTTCTCCTGACAACTGGTAAGCGGAATGGACTTCCCAGGCACTTTCACAAAGTGATAATGAAATCTGTCATCATTGGAAACCCCAACCCAGTCCGATGCCAACATTTACCAACCTGATTTCCTCTCCCCCCCTCCCTCCCTCTCCCCCCCCCCCCCTGCTTCCTCTTTGCAGCTATGTCCTCGCTGCCCATGCCGCTTTTCTCTGGGATGCAGACAGCATGCTGGAACAAACTAGCGTTTTAGCGCCTCCGTTTCCTCCACCCCAAACCGTGGAGATTTAGCAATAGTTTGGCCAATGTACAGGGTGTTGCTTCAGTGTGGTTGCTGCCATGCTGCTTGTGCTGCAAAGCTGTTTAGCTGCTGCGTGCAATTCCTTGCATCCAAATAGGCTTCCTGAGCTCTCCTCTCTGCGAAGTGAGTTTGTTCTGTATTGGTGTCTTTCCCCTGGTGCAAAGCAGGATTAATGTGATGCTACTGTGATCAGGCCCCCTGAGTCGGTTTTGGGTAAGGCTGGATAGCAAAGAATGCACTACAGTTTTAGGTATCTGATTGAAACCTGTGGGCCAAATTGTTCAAAGTTAGTAAGGTTGAGCCAGTTTGGGGGTTTCAACAGGCTGCAAGGGTTGAAAAAATAGCTTAGTTAATCAAGAAAGGCTGGAATATGAAAACTGCAGCAGCACTCTAAAAGTAAGGTGCAACATTACATGGTTGAGTATGTTTAATAAAACATTTACAGGAAGTTAAATAAGCAAGAACATAATAAGCTGGGAAGCATAGGCACCCTTCCTAAACACGCTACTTGAACCAGTCAAGAAGAAGCTTGGTCGCCAACTACATCTGGTGCTCAGAACCCAATTGGCCCTGCACGGTTTGTTGCACGAGGCACCTCTATAGCCTTGAGAGCCCTGTATGAATAAGGTGGCCTATAGCCGGCGCTCCCAGATTCTGTGAAAAATGCTCCACCCGCGAAGTAATCTCCCACGGATTGCCAGTCCCACCCACTCCACATGCTCTTGCTGGCTGCAATGTCGTGCTTGGTCACCTGTAGTGTAGTTCCGAAAATGCAGAGCACGAAAACAAGGGAGAGGTTGAAGAGACTGTGCAGACGTCCGATAGGGAGGGAGAGAAAGGGGGGGGGGGGAGGAAGAGCAAAGAAATCGTCCTGCATGCAACCCAGTAGGCACCACACCAACATCTGAAGTATAACCAGAACAGCGTTACCTCAGTTTTTCCTCCAGTGGCAACGAAATAGTTCGATTCGCTGAGAAACGTTGGGTCAGCGCTGCCTCCAATGGCATAGATTCCCCAGCCGTTGGGATAGTAGTTGTTCACCACATGGAACGTGCCGAACCTGCCACGTGGCATGCGCTCGTCCAGGTTCGGGCCGAACTTGTTCAGCATGACGGTGACGCGCATATTCCTGTCCATGGTGTTAGCATCGTTATGCCCCATCAGAATCACCTGAGGAACCATATTTTGGGGAGCGGAGGGAGGGAAGCATCTGGTTAGGAGAAGAACAGGTGTCCCTGATTACCATGCAGAAAGGGATAAGAAAAGGTGTAGTGCAAGGGGTGGGAGAATGAAAGGGATAATGGAAGGGGAGAAAGGGAGGGGGACAAGAGGGAGAGGGAGGAAATGGGAAGCAGGGAGGGGAGGGAGGTCGAAGGAGAGACTATCACCAGGAAGGGAGGGATAGTATTTTCACCAGGATTGTTCCGGCGGTACCCCCCCTTTCGGTTTCTTCAACTACCCACTGTAGTGAATTTGTCGTACCTTATCCTGATTGGTGAAGAAGCAATTTGACACAGTAACGGCGGTGCTGCCCTCGATAATGTCAATATGCGTGTCATCAGCGTAATTGAAAGAGCAGTGGTCAATCCACACATGGTGCGACATGTAAATGTACACTCCGTATCCGTTCAGGTAGTCGCGGCCATCCAAGGTATTGTCGGGTCCAGTTACAATCTTGAGATTGCCCCTGAAAACAGATGCATAAACGAGTATTGATGAGCCAAAAGAGCCCGTTATGAAAAATACTATGAACCTGTGAACTCCGTATAACAAAGTACTCGACTCGGAAGTGCGATTGAGCTGAGACTTTCTGGGTAACTTACACCCGGTTTTTGCAGTTGACGAAAGAGACTCCGTGAATAATCACATTCGATGACTCTTCAACCGCGAAGCAGGGACCGTTGCCCACCACGATCTTCTTGCCACGTGCATCGATTGTCTTATCCTTGTAAATTATCATTTCTGCGCTTAGGCCAGTAAACGTGAAATCGTCATCGAACACGATCCACAGCGGCTCAGCCTGGAGCGAACAGCGGAATCATAGGAAGATATTAGAGGATCAGGAAGAACCAATGAACGTACAGCAGGTGGTTAGAAGCCGTACAAATAAGCTTGGTACCGGGCTCATACAGATATTGATATAGCTCAAGCCAGTAAACAAAACTCGACTTGGCGGGCGGACTGAAAACGAACATGACAACAAAATCTGGATAGAAAATGGGGTACACGGACCCGGGCTGCGACGCTTCTTACCCTCGTGATGCCATATCGAAGGGTGCCGGGACTCGGGTTCATGCGGTTATCATCCGCTCTAGTCACATGGTAGATTTTCCCCGCCTTCCCGCCAGTTGTCCCCGACGCGTACCCCTCCACGCAATCCGCGAGCTTCTTGATGTTACTGTTCCAGTTCCCGCCCATCCAGCAGTCGTCGATCGGGTTACCATAGGGTAACCACTGCATGATGCCGCCGGGCAGATCGTTGTGTCCGAGCCAACCAGGTCCGGTGTTTCGCTTGACTTGCGGGTTGCGCTTCTTGACCCGCTTGATCTGAGGGTTCTTTTTCGCCATAAGAATTTGCGTCTGCCCGATCTGGTCTTTCGCGACGCGAATATACTTGGCCGACTGCGCGGGGACGCTGTTCGCGCAACCCTGAAAGGCGGGAGGGAGACAGACACAAGACGACAGCAAACGTTAGATATTTTCAAGTGGTTTAAATATGACCGTACAGAAACTCTCGGGGGGGAGGAGTTGGGAAGGGAGGCGGGCGGCAGAATCCTGGGCGGCACGGGACAGAGACAGAGCACGGGCAGGATTAGGACAGTCGTGGCAGGATTAGGGGAAATGCTACACGGGCAGGTGGCGGAGAAGGATGGGCGCGCTTTCACTGTACCCTCGCGTAGTTTGGAATAAAGAGAGTATTGTAGGGCAGCACTGCGGCCAAAAGAACCACGCTGCTGCGAAAGAGAGGAGAGGAGAGATGCACGTACACTGGCCGTGGCTTTTGCATTATTCATTTGCGCGGTCGCCTGAGCGCCCTTCCCGGCCTTGAGGTACGACTCTGCGCTCTGAAGCGCCTTGCACGCGAGGGTCAGCTTCGAGCCGCACGACGTTTTTTTAGCCCAATACTGCGCGATCAGCATGTTGTGCCACGCGTCAGCGAGCATGCTTAGAACGGGGTCCTCCTTTTTAGCCCTGAATGGGTGGAGAAGGGATGACGAGGGATAGGAACGGATGCAAAGATGGGAATGGACAAAGGGGACGGGGGGTGAAAAGGGGGGAGAGGGGGGGAGGGGGATGGGAGGGTGGGGGAAAAACGATGAGATGAAACATTGCAAAGCCGAGGCGTGTTTCGTATTGACTGTTTAGGAAAAAGGATCGCTCTTGATACGATGAGTATGTCACCAGACTATTCGCTGCCCGACTTGATAGTGCTAACAGCAGGGAGATACTCACTTGAGCTGTCGGCGCAAAAGTAGGTCGAGCGCGGAAGAATTCTTCCCTTCCGCCGCCGCCGCTACCGCCGCCGCAAGCGACGGCATTTCCGCGTCATGCAGCATGCGGCCGCGAAGGGCGCCGCCGGTCGCGCTCTCCCCTTGTTGCTCCGCTCCATGCTGCCGCGGCAGCTCGGTAGCAGAGACGCTTACGCCGTCACCCTCGGTGGATGAATGGCATTCAGCGCGTAAGAGATGGTGCGAGAGGGTGAGAGTGAGGAGCAGCAGCAGCAGCGGCTGGAGCTGCAGCCTCATTGCGAGGGAGCGGAGAAAACGGATCGGAAATCAGTAGAAGCCGGTGGATGTATCAAACCCCAAAAGGAGACTTGTAGCTAGACAAATAGACGTTCTGTTAACGGTGTTCTTGAGCGATGTCAAAAACAGGAGGTAGGGATGACCAAAAGATATCAAAAGAGTATGATTTCAGTTTGTGCGGACAGTGCAGACAGCTTGCTGTTTTGATGAAAGGAAGATGTGCGGTTAACTCTCCCTGCGGTACGTCGAATGCTAGACTCGGTGCCCGCTATACTCCTGTTCTATCGTAACTATGGCCTTATCACACTCTGCCTTTTAACTATTCTTATGTTCGCGGAGAGAGGTGCCGCGGACGGTGGGTGTGAGGTCAGCCGTCGGACGTATGAGTTGTTGGCTAATCTGCGCTTCACGAGGCAGCGCGGGATGAAGGAGAAAAAACTACGGAATCCACTCTATCGAAAATGAGGTCAGAGACTAGACCTGTCGGTGCATCACCTTACAGTCACGCTGTGTCCACCTTAGCGGAGTGGAAATGGTAGAGAGCGAGGAAGAGAGGAGAGTGCAGGGCTGAGGTGATGACCATTAGAATCACGACCAAGCTGGACCAAGAGGCGAGAGGGGAGGAACAGCCAATTCTGCTTGTGGCGACATGCATAGCATTCCCAAGCACAGTGGGGGTCGAGGAGAGAAGAGGGACGTGCGGGCGGGGAAGGGAAGGGAAGGAAGGCAAGCACCTCAAGAAAGCGAGAGAAAGGCCCCTTGCCTCGAGGCGCAATGTGGGAGAGAGAAAGGCCCCTCGCCTCGAAGCGCAATATGTGCACGTCGAATCTCCCAGAGTCAACGCGGGTCCAAAATCGTGTTTGGAATTTTGTGGGTGTGGGGAGGCGAAGCGCGCTACGAAGCGCAGCACCCCTTTGCTGAAGTGGCCCACCACGAGCCCACAACCATATGGGCCACTACGGTACCTCCACATCAGCACGACTGGAGAAACACACCGCTTGGGCGAGACGTTCGTTCTGGCGTGGCAGCTTTGGAGCCGCCAAGCCTGATGCCGAAGCGAAGCCACGTCGTGCGATGATTGTCGCCGGCGACAGACAAGGGGCTTACGAAACAGCTTACGTGATTCAACCAGCGATACGCCGTCGCATACCTCGTATGGCTCGGCTGCGACTCCAGCGATGAGGTGGAACTACCAACCGACCAGTCAAATTGGCTATCTCAACTGTGGAAGCGACCCCATTTGTGCCGTCAGATTCAACATCAGAAAATTGAGTGTATATTGAGAACATAAAACTGCAGTGAGTTCACAGTATACCACCAAACCCTTCGAGCACACTGCACTTAAAGACATTACCATACACGTTATACAATGGTTGCCTTGCCACATTACCATTTAACCGAACCTCTGTGCTCTAGTACTTAATTAACTACACAAATATGGTTGGCACCAGCTTCAGGGGCTTCACGTTATACAACGGATGCCTTGCTGAAAACGTACGACTGCTCAAAAAAACCTCTTCTGCGACGTACGGACAATGAGACGAGGAGGGTTGGGAGGGAGGCATGAGGAACAATGCTAGAGACTTCAGAATGATGTTCTCAGACAAGAAGATACAAACGATCAAGCCGCAGAGGGGCACTATGTGAGTCATAGGTGCAATATATACAATGGGAGGGAAGGATCCATTCGACAACTAGGTTTTACGTGCCCTCACGTACATGAAACAGTACACTATTCACGAAAGACCAGACATTTAAATTCAAACAGGCATTGTTAACATCTGTTTGTATTGAAGCTGTTCAACCATGCTCACCAGTAGCCACCCATTCAAACCCATTCTCACCCACACTGACCCATTCTCGTCGAAGGATATCATCAAGTGGTTGTACAAAAGCATCTCGTCCAAGACACTAGTATCGCTTGCTGCCCCTGTACTAAGCAGCCCCCCAAAAAACGCTCCTCAACCGCTCCCCACCCATGCTCACCCATTCTTGCCGGAGAAGATGGGAGCATGGTTGTAGATTAGCATCTCGTCCATCTCCTCATCCGACTCGGGCCGATGTGTGGAGCGACGGGCTTCACTGTAGTCACATGCACATGCATGGCATGGCATGGCATGGCATGAAATGGGTTGGAAGTTAGACCAGACCAACAGACTCATGCAGTTTAGCATGTCATCCATCTCCTCATCTGACTCGGGCCGATGTGTGGAACGACGGGCTTCACTGTAGTCACAGACATGGGGCAACATGGCGTGGCATGGCATGGCATGGCGTGGCATGGCATGGCATGGCGTGGCATGGCATGGCATGGCGTGGCATGGCATGGCATGATTGTACACGACAGACATGTGCACGACATGGTCGCTTGCGTTTAGTCATGCTGACGATGACGATGTGGCACCTGGTGAATCACACTTGCATGTGATCACATATATATCACCCACGACTGGGACTAAATCACATACCCAACCAGAGTGGTGACTAAGCGGCAGTGGGACTAAGCAGTCGTGGTGACTTACATAAGTGACTTACTTAACAAAGAAGTTAGCAGTGGCTTGGCAGGCCGCCACCGCGTGTGCTGAATGGGGAATGTGCGGTAACCCCCACTCGAATGCCGTTTTCTGCTTCAAGCAAGAGGGGTGAAGAAGTGGGGAGACGGGGGAAATTAGCGGTGGCCGCCAGGCAGCCACTGCATGTGCCGAATGGGGAATGTGCCGTAACCCCCACTCGAAGGGCGTTTTCTGCTTAAGGTAGCAACAGAGGGAGAGGCGAAACGGGAAACGGGAATGGGGAAACGGGAAAGGGGAAACGGAGTGGGGAATGTGCGGTAGCCCATACTGAAATGCCGTTTTCTGTTTAACACAGAAAGAGAGGGAGAGGCTGGGTGGGGTGGAGGTTGGGGAGGAAAAGAGAGGAGGGAAATTTTGAGGCGCCACTCTTTAGAATTGCTGCTCTTCCACTATGAGCGAAGACCCTGGGGTGGAGGCTGGGGAGGAAAAGAGAGGAGGGAAGAAGCAAGAGAGGGGTAAGAGTGGCTGAATGGGGAATTTTCTGTAGCCCCCACTCAAACGGAGGGAAGAATGGGGAGAGAAGGAGCCAGAGAAGGGTGACTTTTGAGTCGACTCAAAAGGGAAGAACGGGGAGAGAAGGAGCCAGAGGAGGGTGACATTTGAGTCGACTCAAAAGGGAAGAATGGGGAGAGAAGGAGCCAAAGAAGGGCGGATGGGTGGGGATTATGCAGTAGCCTCCACTCAAACGCTGCTTTCTCTTTCGAAGGGTGTTTGTGAGAATTCATTCAAATGCTCCTTTCTGTTTTGAACAACAACAGAGGGAGAGGGAAAAGGGGAAAGGTGAAACGGGGACAGGGAAAGGGGAATGGGAGAAGGAAAGCACGTAACCGAGTTATTCCATGCCTCAACAAGATTTTTATTATTTGCCAGCTCTCGTTGCTAGGCCCGTTGCCTCACCTCTGGGTGCCATTGCGTGCCATAGATAGGGTAGTTCCGTGCCTCAACCCTTTTCCATCTTTCGTTAATACTCCCCCTGTTGAGGGCAGGGGGGTCGTTGCCTCACCTCTGGGTGCCATTGCGTGCCATAGATAGGGTAGCTCCGTGCCTCTATGGTTGTCACGTATTCCTGCAACATACGCGAAGGGAAGGCGCGAAGCACAAGGGGAGAGAGAAGGAAACAACAGTTGAACAGAAACGGCAGGCACACGCTTGGGGGCTAGGGGAAGGGGGAAGAGGGGAAGGGGGAGGAGGAGGAGGAGGAGGAGGAGGAGGAGGAGGAGGAGGAGGAGGAGGAGGAGGAGGAGGAGGAGGAGGAGGAGGAGGAGGAGGAGAAGGAGGAGGAGGAGGAGGAGGAGGAGGAGGAGGAGGAGGAGGAGGAGGAGGAGGAGGAGGAGAAGGAGGAGGAGGAGGAGGAGGAGGAGGAGGAGGAGGAGGAGGAGGAGGAGGAGGAGGAGGAGCAAGACGATATCTGAGAATCCATAAAAAACAGAATACAGGGGGACGCTACCACTAGAACAGAGGAAGAAGTGGAAGTGGCAGAGTACTCACAGTCCCGAATTTTTAGGCACCTTAAAAAGTTTCTGAGGGTTTCTGAGGAGCCTAAGGAGGTGACTTTTGAGTCGACTCAAAAGTCACCTCAATACTTTTGAGGGTTGCTGAGGAGCCTAAGGAAAGGAGGAAGTGGCAGTGGCAGGGCACTCACAGTGCCGTTTCTGTCCACCGAGGTGGTGAGAATGCGGAAAAACTCCCTCAGACGCTTGCTGGAGAGAAAGCGGTCCACTGTGGTGCCATCCTGTGCGTTACATAGCGGAACAGAGGTGATTATAAGGGGCAGCGATTCACTGTAGTGCTGTGCTGTGATACTACAGCGGCGCAGAGGTGAGCATAAAGGGGCATTGTGATTATAACGAGGGAAGCAAAAGAGAGGGATGCCAGAAATTATGGATGGTTACATGCAGCAATGGGTGGCTGGGGAGTCGGATAGGGGAAGGTGACGGAAGGAGGAAGCATAGGGGGAGGAGTTGTGGGGTTGGGGGAAGCGGGAGGAGGAGGTGGGTCAACTGTGGGGAGGAAAAGGGAGGGGGGAGCGGCAGGAAGGGGAGTCATGCGCACTAGAATCACTATATACTATACACACGCACACGAGACAATGCATGCGCAATGAACCGCGCACCACGCGGTGTGAGCTTTGTACATGATATAAGCTCACCTCGTGATTCTCCATGGTGATCTTCTCTCTCTGAATGCGATCCAGCAGGTCGGGAGTCATCCTGTTGAATGGGAAGCACAAATCAAAATTAGTGATGCAATTACGAGCCTTAAAAACTCACCAGAAGAACTTGTCTTATGTTTCCATAGTAGTGCAAACTCACCAGCTGAAGTAAGCTCGCCTCTTGGCCTCTTCACTGGTGAATGTGAGAGACTCTGGGCTGTCCTCTGCATTGAACGCCTTGGTCTCCAGAATATCGAAATCCTGAGAGTTAGGAGGAAATGTGGGAGGATATGGGAGAGAGTGAGGGTGAGGGGGAGTGGGGGATAGAAGGGGAGTGGGAGGACGAAGGGGAGTGGGGACTGGAAAGGAGTGGGAGAGAGCGGGACCAACATCGCCCAGGTGAAAAACAAGCACGGAAGGATAGGACACTCGCTCGAACCCGCACCGGCTGTGAGGGAGAGGAACGCGGAAGAAAGCTCGTTCTCCAGCTCAGCACTCACGTGCCCTGCACAGGGGTATAAGTCGCCCAGCAATCATCGCCCAGCAATCATCGCCCACTCGTTCCTAACACCCACCTGGCTGAAGAAAATCGTGAGCGTTTCCATGCCCATGCACGTGCCCTGCACGGGGAAGTAGTCTCCTGCGTCGTTGGCTGCCAGGGCCATCTGAGCAAAGCAGAGAGAGACACGGGCAGGAAGACGGAAAGGGACTGCGTCATCTCACACAGGCCCCAACGCCCCCATGCCCCCATGCCTCCATGCCCATGCACGTGCCCTGCACGGGGAAGTAGTCCCCTGCATCGTTGGCTGCCAGGGCCATCTGAGCATGGACGGACAGAGGGCAAAGGAGGCAGGAGGTGAGAGGCAATGAGAGGAAAGAAGTTCCTGCGTCATCTGACACTGCCCTCCATGCTCATGCACGTGCCCTGTACAGGGAAGTAGTCCCGGGGACTGGGGACCGCATCGCTGGCTTCCAGGGACGAGGGACGAGGGACGAGGGACGAGGGACGAGGGACGAGGGACCAGGGACGAGGGACGAGGGACGAGGGACCAGGGACGAGGGACGAGGGACGAGGGACCAGAGACCTATGAGCAAGAATTCTATGAGCAATCCTATGAGCAAGAATGCTTCACCTCGAGCAGCTTTTCCAAAGCAGAGAAGAACGGCCCTGGCACCAGGTCCGTGCCTCCTCCTGGGAGTATATTCATGGCTCCATAGGAAACTAAACGCCCTAAAAACGAAATGCGAGGCACGAGGGATTCACCTTGAGTAGTTTCTCCACAGCAGAGAAGAACGGCCCTGGAACCAGATCCGTGCCCCCGCCTGGGAGTATCAGCCCGTTGATGGCCCTGAATTTCTGGGAGGAGGGACGAGAGGATGGGAAAGGGAGGGAAACGGAGTAGGAAGGACAGTGGAAGACAGAACAAGGATAAAAGACAAGGGAAACCCGTTGATGGTAGGCCGTTGATGGTAGCCCGTTGATGGTAGCCCGTTGATGGTAGCCCGTTGATGGTAGCCCGTTGATGGTAGCCCGTTGATGGTAGCCCGTTGATGGTAGCCCGTTGATGGTAGCCCGTTGATGGTAGCCCGTTGATGGTAGCCCGTTGATGGTAGCCCGTTGATGGTAGCCCGTTGATGGTCCTGAAAGTACTAAAAGAAGCAAGCACACCTTTTTCAGCAACTCTTGGCACTGGTGGTTTTTGAGAACCCGACTACTTATGAAGAGCAACACACACACCTTCTCCATCAGCCAATCAGGGTCGTCATAGAGGATGGGAACTGGCCTTGCTCCCGCGCTCTCCACCCACTTGACGTACGAAGCCGCTATGTACGACACGTTGAGGTCTGAATGGGAAAAGGAATAGGACAGCAGTGAGAAACAGACATTGAAAAGGCATTTGGCCTCGCTCCCGCGCTCTCCACCCACTTCACGTATGAAGCAGCGATGTACGATACAACAATGAGAGAGGGGATGAATGGGAGGATGGGAGGGGAATGGAAGAATGAGAGAGCATTGAGAAACAACAATGAGAATGGGACCTTCAACCCCCCTTCACAAACGAAGCAGCGATTCAGATTCAGGGATTCTGCCTTTTTAGAGTTTAAGGTCAACCCCCATTCCCACCTTCCTTGGCGTTGACTCGCGGCGCTCGTCCCCCATCGCCGTCTCCCGGCTGCGACAGGATGCCGATCAACGGCTGATCGTGCACCGCTGGCGGCTTGGCGTCTACCGACCGTTGATTGCCGAATTCGGCGTCGGATCCGGCCGACAGTGTCAGGAAGGGGTTTCGCGAAGCCGCGTGAGTCGACACGAGCAGCCATGCTGCGACGATAGCGAATGCGAATGTCGGATTCAGCACAGAATAGATCGACGGTTTCAATTGCATCTGCGAATTCAGTCTCCGTGAGGTCGCCATGTTTGCCGGCACCTGAAAAAATCAAGCCAGATCGGTATTGTAGGGTACACTGAGTCTCCTCTGAGGTTCTGTGAGGTGACAACCGCCCTGGAAGTTTCGAGCGACACAAATGCTTTGCCTTCTTATCTGAGCATGTGGATAACCTGGCCAATGGGAACTCGAGACCCTACCACATGGGTTCAGCTTGGCGCCATTTCAGCCACAGGATGCCTGCCATGTCACCATTGTTGCCAGGCTTCTAAAGCACATCAACAATTAGCTCGTGTAATCTACACTACACAATAAATGTCATACCAAATCGTATACGCAAGAGTAAGTTTCTGCAAATAAAAGCAAGGCAAACAAACAGCACAAGCCACAAACCATGCTTATTGCACACCAGGTTCCGTAAGCTTGCTAGACAAACTCACATCCACAAATCATAAATCTGACATATGAACATAGAATAAAGCAGAGTATTCAACTCTTGGAACACCAAGATTGCACAGTGACCACGAATTTAATTCGCGTGCTTGTGGCTGACCTTGGCGCATGTAGCTGCAAACGCCATAACGAATTTGTGCTGTACATCGGGCCTTGTGAGGTACTCTGCATGCTGGAACCCGTCGTTGTAAATCACATTCACATTGTGGCGAGCCAGATGGCTGCAGGGAGTAGAACAGGTGGGGAACAGGAAACAGCAAGAGAGATGAGGGAGAAATGGCGAGCCAGGTGACTGCAACAGAACAGGTGGGGAGCACGGAAAGCAGGAGGCAGATAAAGAAACACCGAGTACATAGGAAAAAAAAAATGAGAGCAATGAGCAGGAACGAGGGATGAGAGGCAACAAATGGAGTCGGAAGCAGACGCGACGACGAGGGAGTAGAGTTCAAGTGTATGGACAGTGATTAATTACACAGACACTCACCTCTGCACCTGTGGCGATGGCACGAGCTGGTCGTCCCCTGCCAGCATCACCAGGGAGGCAGGTGGCAGCTCATCCCCCCACACCAGGTACTCCTGCCTGCAGTGGGGTAAACGGATATAGAGACAGGGGGGCAACAGGGACGTTATGAGGGAGGGAGGATGAGCAGGAGCGCGCACCACACCAGCTGGTCATCCCCTGCCAGCATCACAAGAGGCGGGTGGCAGCTCATCCCCCCACACCAGGTACTCCTGCCTGCAGTGGGGTAGTGACAGGGAGACAAACATTTACATTTGCATGCATGCATGCATGCAGCAGCCCTCCACCCTCTACATGAGAAGGTGAGGAGGCAACAACATCTACATCGGAGAAGAAAAATTTGTGTGCTTCCAGTGAACCAGCTCACCAGCTCACCAGCACTCACCATGAGAAGCCGCGGCAGATGCTACGAGCCACCTGTAGCACCCGAGAGCACAGCACCCAACGCAAAGCAATACGCATGCTCAGACACCACCAGCAGCCCAGCTCAGCTCACCAGCAGCAGCCCAGCCTCCCCCCTCAGCTCACCATGAGAAGCCGCGGCAGATGCTGCGAGCCACCTGCAGCTCCCGGGAGCACAGCACCCAGCGCAACACGTGTGCTTCTACCCACACATCCCATCGCACCGCAACACCGAGGCAGTTGGGCAAGGGACTCACCATGAGAAACCGCGGCAGATGCTGCGAGCCACCTGCAGCTCGCGCGAGCACAGCACCCAGCGCCTACCACTCTTAACCATACCAAAGCAGCATGTGTGCTTCTAACAACCCATCAGACCAGCAGCAGCAGCCCCCCCTCAGCTCACCATGAGAAGCCACGACAGATGCTGCGCGCCACCTGCAGCTCCCGGGAGCACAGCACCCAACGCACCGACTCGCCGATCCACGCTGCCAGGTGGTCCCCACCAGGAAGGCTGGGTGAAGAGAGGGAGAGAAGAGACGAGAAACGCAGGAGAGTGCATGAGAGGGACGAGTGAAAGGCCACCTGCAGCTCCCGCGAGCACAGCACCCAGCGCACCGACTCACCTATCCACGCTGCCAGGTGGTCCCGCCTGGGAGGCTGGGAGGTTGGGAAGGAGAGGAAGCAGGTAGGGAGAGGAGAAGGACAACAGAGTAAGATTTACATGCTATGTTAAGAGAAGGAGAGAAGGAGAACAGATCAACAAAATTTTGGAGTTAAGACCTGAGGCAGCGTGCACTTGTACTCGCTCTGTGCTCTGTCGTCGTTTCTGCACTCGTTATAGAGCAATTCGCCTGCAGACGGACGTGTGTGCAGTGCAACAGCACTATTTTGTACTCGTTACAGAGCGACTCACCTGTACACAAACGTGTGCAGCACTTTGGGCAGGCAGAGCAGCAGGCAGACGGGGTCGATGATGCTCATTGCTGCTATCATTGACCGATGGCGCCTAAGGAGCTGCAGATGAGGAAGGGTGGGAGGGACGGAGGGAACGGGTGGGACAACATCAGGCAGGCAGGCAGAGCAGCAGGCAGACAGGGTCGATGATGCTCATTGCTGCTACCATTCACCGATGCCGACGCAGGAGCTGTTGGGAGGGAGAGCAAGGGAGATGCAGAGCAGGGAGAACGAAGAATGGGGGCATCAGGGAGAGAGGGGCATGAGGGAGAAATAGTTGGGTCGATGATGCTTGCTGCTCAGTGGACGGACACAAACGCATGATCTCAACACAGCCTACTCGTTTCAGCCACACTCGTTACAAGCGCACCTCGTTACAAGCACTGGTACTCACAGTGGCAGCAATGAAGGTGCTGTAGGAGTGCCCAACATATGCCACGCGCTTGTACCCGTGCTTGCACAGCGTCTCGACCAATGCATCGGTCTGAAATGGCGAGGGGACAGCTCGACCACTATGAAGGGCTGGGGTGGCGGGGACAGGGAGGCGGGGAGAAGGGAGGGGGGGGAAGGTAACAAGGTAAGGGGAAAGAGAGGGTATGCGGATGTGAGCTGGCAGGCGAGATGGGGCAGCTCGACCACTATGAAGGGCTGGGGGTGGCGGGGACAGGGAGGCGGGGAGAAGGGAGGGGGGGGAAGGTAACAAGGTAAGGGGAAAGAGAGGGTATGCGGATGTGAGCTGGCAGGCGAGATGGGGCAGCTCGACCACTATGAAGGGCTGGGGTGGCGGGGACAGGGAGGCGGGGAGAAGGGAGGGGGGGGAAGGTAACAAGGTAAGGGGAAAGAGAGGGTATGCGGATGTGAGCTGGCAGGCGAGATGGGGCAGCTCGACCACTATGAAGGGCTGGGGTGGCGGGGACAGGGAGGCGGGGAGAAGGGAGGGGGGGGAAGGTAACAAGGTAAGGGGAAAGAGAGGGTATGCGGATGTGAGCTGGCAGGCGAGATGGGGCAGCTCGACCACTATGAAGGGCTGGGGTGGCGGGGACAGGGAGGCGGGGAGAAGGGAGGGGGGGGAAGGTAACAAGGTAAGGGGAAAGAGAGGGTATGCGGATGTGAGCTGGCAGGCGAGATGGGGCAGCTCGACCACTATGAAGGGCTGGGGGTGGCGGGGACAGGGAGGCGGGGAGAAGGGAGGGGGGGGAAGGTAACAAGGTAAGGGGAAAGAGAGGGTATGCGGATGTGAGCTGGCAGGCGAGATGGGGCAGCTCGACCACTATGAAGGGCTGGGGTGGCGGGGACAGGGAGGCGGGGAGAAGGGAGGGGGGGGAAGGTAACAAGGTAAGGGGAAAGAGAGGGTATGCGGATGTGAGCTGGCAGGCGAGATGGGGCAGCTCGACCACTATGAAGGGCTGGGGTGGCGGGGACAGGGAGGCGGGGAGAAGGGAGGGGGGGGAAGGTAACAAGGTAAGGGGAAAGAGAGGGTATGCGGATGTGAGCTGGCAGGCGAGATGGGGCAGCTCGACCACTATGAAGGGCTGGGGGTGGCGGGGACAGGGAGGCGGGGAGAAGGGAGGGGGGGGAAGGTAACAAGGTAAGGGGAAAGAGAGGGTATGCGGATGTGAGCTGGCAGGCGAGATGGGGCAGCTCGACCACTATGAAGGGCTGGGGTGGCGGGGACAGGGAGGCGGGGAGAAGGGAGGGGGGGGAAGGTAACAAGGTAAGGGGAAAGAGAGGGTATGCGGATGTGAGCTGGCAGGCGAGATGGGGCAGCTCGACCACTATGAAGGGCTGGGGGTGGCGGGGACAGGGAGGCGGGGAGAAGGGAGGGGGGGGAAGGTAACAAGGTAAGGGGAAAGAGAGGGTATGCGGATGTGAGCTGGCAGGCGAGATGGGGCAGCTCGACCACTATGAAGGGCTGGGGTGGCGGGGACAGGGAGGCGGGGAGAAGGGAGGGGGGGGAAGGTAACAAGGTAAGGGGAAAGAGAGGGTATGCGGATGTGAGCTGGCAGGCGAGATGGGGCAGCTCGACCACTATGAAGGGCTGGGGTGGCGGGGACAGGGAGGCGGGGAGAAGGGAGGGGGGGGAAGGTAACAAGGTAAGGGGAAAGAGAGGGTATGCGGATGTGAGCTGGCAGGCGAGATGGGGCAGCTCGACCACTATGAAGGGCTGGGGGTGGCGGGGACAGGGAGGCGGGGAGAAGGGAGGGGGGGGAAGGTAACAAGGTAAGGGGAAAGAGAGGGTATGCGGATGTGAGCTGGCAGGCGAGATGGGGCAGCTCGACCACTATGAAGGGCTGGGGTGGCGGGGACAGGGAGGCGGGGAGAAGGGAGGGGGGGGAAGGTAACAAGGTAAGGGGAAAGAGAGGGTATGCGGATGTGAGCTGGCAGGCGAGATGGGGCAGCTCGACCACTATGAAGGGCTGGGGGTGGCGGGGACAGGGAGGCGGGGAGAAGGGAGGGGGGGGAAGGTAACAAGGTAAGGGGAAAGAGAGGGTATGCGGATGTGAGCTGGCAGGCGAGATGGGGCAGCTCGACCACTATGAAGGGCTGGGGTGGCGGGGACAGGGAGGCGGGGAGAAGGGAGGGGGGGGAAGGTAACAAGGTAAGGGGAAAGAGAGGGTATGCGGATGTGAGCTGGCAGGCGAGATGGGGCAGCTCGACCACTATGAAGGGCTGGGGTGGCGGGGACAGGGAGGCGGGGAGAAGGGAGGGGGGGGAAGGTAACAAGGTAAGGGGAAAGAGAGGGTATGCGGATGTGAGCTGGCAGGCGAGATGGGGCAGCTCGACCACTATGAAGGGCTGGGGTGGCGGGGAGAAGGGAGGGGGGGGAAGGTAACAAGGTAAGGGGAAAGAGAGGGTATGCGGATGTGAGCTGGCAGGCGAGATGGGGCAGCTCGACCACTATGAAGGGCTGGGGGTGGCGGGGAGGGGAGGAGAGGGGAGGGGAGGGATAAAGGCAAGGTAGGGCGTGAGGCCGATGCCTAGCCCGTGCCCGTGCCTCTTTTGAGACGTCTCAAAAGCCAGCCCGTGCCGATACCCTACTGCAAGCTTAATACGCGCACGCACCTTGCTCCCGAACGCAGCTAGCAGCATGTGAATGAAGGCGAGGTAGGGCGTGAGGCGTGAGGCCGATGCCCAGCCCGTGCTAGTGCCCGTGCCGCTACCTGTACCCTATTACAAGCTTCATACGCGTTATAAGCACGTGGATATTCACCTTGGAGCCAAACGCGGCGAGCAGCATGTGAATGAAGGCGAGGTAGGGCGTGAGACCGATGCCCAGCCCGTGGATGAACACCACCGCGTCGTACCCATCTGCACCGCTCTCCGCCTCCGCCTCTGCCTTGTGCGCCTTGCTTCCCTTCTGCTCCTTCCACCCCGGGCAGTGAAAGTAGTGCAGGCCGGAGGGGGAGACGTGCCTGTACGGGGGACAGAGAGAGCAACAGGAAACACGTAGGCACATGCACGGGGACCGTACTTTGGTAAGGTGCACACACACCCAAGTGTCTTGCTTCCCTTCTGCTCCTTCCACCCCGGGCGGTGAAAGTAGTGCAGGCCGGAGGGGGAGACGTGCCTGTACGGGGGGGTAAACGCACACAGATGGGGAAACAAGCATAGGGTGGTGCAGCATGTGTTGAAGAGAGAATCTCACACCCTCCGCCTCCGCCTCTGCCTCTGCCTTCTGCTCCTTCCATCCCAGACAATAAAGTTGTTTTTGAGACGTCTCAAAAACACTTTATTATCACGTGGAAATAGTGCAAGCCGGAGCGGAGACGTGCCTGTCAGCCAAGCCACCATGTGTCCCCACGCGTACACAAACAGCGGATGCACCACTGCCCTTATCGGCTCCTGTGTATGTGTGTTCTCCGTTGCAATCTCGCCTGCCTCTGTGTGTGCTTTCCCCCTGAAAAGACTCATTCCTCACCTGCGGAACCCCAGGAGCGCGAGGCAGAGCCAGGTGAGCCACGCCACCATGTGCCCCCACGCATACACAAACAGCGGATGCACCACCGCCCTTATCGGCTCCTGTGTGTGCGCCATGAACCCAATCCCCTCCTCCCCGTTCCTCCACTTCCCCCCTGCTACAGCCTCACCCTCCCCTCTCTCCTCTCCGCAGATTCCCTCTCCGCCCACCACAGCCTCCGCCATCTCCCCCAGCACCTCGACCGCGGCTGTTTCCCCCGCCGCTGCTGCTGCTGCGACTGTTGTTGCTGCTGTCACTGCCGCTCCCGCTGCTGCTGCTGCCGCCCGGGATACTGTCCCGCTTTCCGGGTCTTTCTCTGCTCCTCCTGTTCCTCCTGCTCCCGGTCCTTCTGCTTCCCCAGCTGCTCCGCCTGCTGCTGCTCCCGCGGATGCATCTGCACCTGCTGCTTCCGCGGATGGCTCCGCCTGCTGCGCCTGCTGCTGGTCCGCGGAGGCGGAGGCGGAAGGGCGGCGGAGGACAGGGAGGTCCCACACGCGCTCGATAGAGTCCATGTGCGCTGAAAAAGGGGGATGCGGGGAAGGCGGAGGGGGGAAGGGGGAGAGCGGGGAGGGTGGGGGGTGTTTGAGACGGCGGGAGTGGAGATAGAGGGGGAAAGGGGAGAAGGCGGAGAACAGGTAGGTCCCACCCGCTCGATAGAGTCCATTTGCGCTGACAAGGAGCGGAAATGAAGGGGAGGAGGGGGGGGAGGAGGGGGGATTGGGTGGGCGAGGGGTGTTCGAGATGATGGGAGCAGAGATGGAAGGGGAAAGGGGCGTGGGGGAGGAGTGAGAGAAGGGAGAGGGTGAATAGAGTCCCACACCTGCTCAATTGAGTCCATGGGGGGAAGGGATGGCGGGCAAGAGGTGAGAAGGGAGAGGGTGAGTCGCTCGCATCTCTTCCCCTTCTCCCCCCTCTCCCCCCTCTCTCCCCTCCCCTCTCCACTCACACCCACACTTTCCTGTCCCTTCTCCCCACCCACCTTCCACGGCCTCCTGGTATTCGGGCGACAGCTGCTCAAACGAGCCATAGAACAAGCCCTATTCACCCCTCTCCACCCCTCTTTCCCCGCTCTCCACTCCCACAACCCTCTTTTCTGTCCACCCCTCCCCACTCCCCTTACCCACCCACCCACCTTCCACGGCCTCCTGGTATTCGGGCGACAGCTGTTCGAACGAGCGATAGAAGAATCCAAAGGAGAGAAATTGCTTGATGTGCTCGCGGGTGAGGCGCTCGAGAGGCGTGTTGTGGAACCACCCCTCGAAGAAATAGCGCGCATCCACGATGCCCCTGAGTGGAGAAAACACAAGAGGATTTATGGGGCGATGAAAGGACGGGAGAGAGGGAGAGAGGGAGAGAAGTTGGGGCATGGGAGTGAGTCGCTCCGGAGGGGTGTTGTGAAACTAGCCTTCGAAGAAGTAACGCTGTTTCTACTTGAGTTTCGGATGCAGCTACGCAGGTCCAATACGATCTCTGCAGGGAGCAGCGTGAGGATGAGCTATCCTCGCTATAGATGGGTCCGATGTTTATTACACATATATACATATAAATGAATATCATATACTGTACCCCGTGCTTACTTGAGTTTCAGGATGCGGCTAAGCAGGTCCGAAACGCTCTACAGAGAGGGCGGTGTGCGGATAAACCGTCCTCGCGATAGGAGGGTCCGATGCAATAAATACATGTACATAATATACTCAATGAAATAAAATAAAGTGTAGCTCGTTCTTACTTGAGTTTCAGGATGCGGCTGAGCAGGTCCGAAACGCTCTCGAGAGAGGGCAGCGGGAGCTCCGGGCGGTGGGCGCTGGCGCGGCGCAGCTGCTGGTAGCGGATCGCCACGAAGATAACCTGAAAGCGCGGGGGTAAAGTGGGGTAAAGTGCGGTTGGGTGGGATAGGCGCCGGGGCGGTGGTCGCTGGCGTGGCGCAGCTGCTGGTAGCGAATCGCCACGAAGATCACAACGCAATCAGCGCGCAAGCATGGCGCAAGGAGCGGGCAAGCAGCGCACAAGGAGGGCGCAAGCAGGGGGCAAGAAACGCGCAAGCAGGGCGCAAGGAGCAGCAGGCAAGGAGCAGGGCGCAAAGAGCAGCGCGCACCTCGACGATAGCCCATACGGCGAGGCAGGAGGGGAGGAGGGCGGGGAAGAGCAGCGCGAAGAGCGCGCACGCGCACGCCGGCGCCACGAGGATGCCCACCGTCACAATGCCCCTGCACAGGCGGAGATATAGAAGAAGCAGCAAAGTCGGAAAATACTTAGAGACTCCACGTTTGGCCCACAATAAGAGCAGCGCGATGCGCGCACGCACACGGCAGTCCGCGAGAACGGCCACCGTGACGATGTCCTTGCGACGATGAGAATGGTGCGACGAGAACAATGCGACAGCCGCCTCAGATTGAAGATGCACGTGTTCTAGGATATCTTTAGCACCCCGCATATAGCGCGAACACTGTGCCCGAGAGACACTCGAAACAGGCCAAGCAAATAGCGCCGACGGTCTAGACCGCATGAGACACTTTGAACGTCTACACACTCTGCAAGATAAAAAAAGGGCGTTATTACTCCGCAAATCAAGCCAGCACTGCGCCGAGCACTGCGCCGAGCGCAAACACATACCAGACAGCGCGGACCCGCTCCCCCTTAAGGAGCTTCTGCTCCAGCTGCTGCGCTCGGCTCGCCGTAAGCAGCGGCGTGTTTTCTGCAGCGGCCTCCTCGCACTCCACGCGCACGTCCACCGCATGCGCCGGCGCCGCCGCGTTTTCCGCTCCTCGATGGTGCTTCTTGTGGTGCTTAACCGAGTGATGCTGATGCTCCCCCGCATCGCGGTGACCCGCTCGCTGCTGCTGCTTCAGGGGCGGCGCGTCGTGGTGGTGGTGCTTTTTCCCGCATTTTGTGCGGCGGCGCGTGAAAATGCCCTGATTGGCCAGCTTGTACCACGAGCGGACCTTCTCCTCCACCATGCTCTGAAGCGCCGTCTCCCATTGGCTGATCACTTGCACTTGGACGGGCGGCGCGGTGGAGATTGCGTCGGACGTGTCGAGCACGGCCGCCGCCATGATTCCCGTTTTAGCTCGACTCAGCCGTAAACGCGAAGCCGAAATCGGGGGAAACACTAGAGCCGTCGATTTAACGAACCGAAGTGCCGAAAAATCGACGGCGATGAGAAGCTGCCTCGCCGTTCCGCTAATCCCTCCCTCCAACCAAGAGTCGCTACCGAGCAACCTACCCCTCCAAATATCGTCTGTGAAAACAAGGAAAACGCATTGAAACCCTTGTTGTACAGTGTACAGCTCGGTTGAAATGTTGCGGTACCAGTCAGGGAATTCGCGCACAGTTGATGGGTACCACGCAGGGAAGATGGGTACCACGGAGGGAAGATGGTACCACGAAGGGGCGCGCATGATCTGACGGGTACCATCGAGCCACGTAGGTGACTTCTGACGTCAGTGGCTTCGATGTTGGTTACCCAGAAGGTAATTACCCAAAAATGTTGGTGATGCGAGGCGAGGCACGCGGTCTTGTGGCAGCCGACAAGGGGAATCCGCCTTGCGCTTGCCTCGGCTGACTGCTGTAGCGGAGTGTTTCGTGGGGGAAGGGGGAGGGAGGAGGCGGGGGGGGGGACGGATGGGGAAGGGATGGACTGTACTGTAGAGGCAGAGAGGGCGGGCGGAAGGTTGTGCAGCGCAATCCTTGCAGTGGTGCGGAGAGGATTAGGGAGAGGCGACGGCGCGGTCAGACTGAGGGGCACGGGGCCTTGGGTTCTTGGAGCAAGCAGATTGGAAGCCGAACGGACAATTTCTGCTGGGGATGCGCGGGGAAGGGAGCGCGTGGATTATGGGCTTGGAAGTTCGGAGATTTGAGCTGCCCGGAGGGCCATTTCGCCAGCGCAAAACTCGAACTTGACAATGCCGAGGGTAGGGCAAGCAAGAACCTTGTGCTTGCGCTGTTTTACTGTAGCTGGGCGAAGTTTCTGATGTTGTGAGGTTTCGAATGTGCGGCTGCGATTGCTTCTGCACTATTCTCAGGTGAGACAGCTTTGCGCGGGAACTTGGGCTGCACGCACCTGAAGGGGCACCAAGCAAACCGCGGCGGCAATCCCGAAAGTCTGTCCCAATCAGGGGGCAAACCTTCCTATCATGCGCAGTTTCGCCACGTGCCAGGGTGTTTGTGGGGAATGTTCCATACTCGATTCAATTGGACAGGGTTCCCCCCAGGGGCAATGCCGCAATGGGGATCAGCACGGAGCGGAGGAGGAGGGGGTTGAAGGGGTGGGGGAAAGCTGGGGTGTCAGAGAGCATTGGTGAAATTCCTCCGCTCCGCAATGGCACAATGAAGCTGGGGCGACCACACGAAACGAGGTTCCCCGCGCTGCTGCCCGCTACCCCAGTCAAAGCCCCCAGCATTAACTCTCGATTGCGCCAGCCCAATTTTGCCAGGTTACGGTGTGATATTAGTTAAAACACTAGTAAGCCCCTTCCAAAGAGCAAAAATGGAAGACGCAGCGGCTTTGCTTTCCATAAAGTGTACATCAGTAGAATTTTCCCCAAGAAAACAAACAAACTAGCCACCTGACAAACAGAGTGGAGGTGAAGTGAAGAAATTGCCTGCTTGCCATTTCACGCGTGCTGCTGACGTCACAACACAGAATTATTGCATTTCCGCGCGCTATAGATCTTGATTTTGGCGGGAAAAGCCGCAACACGTAAACACACGAAGGGCTTCGTTAGAATGTCTTGTACCAGCATCTTCACAAACGGGGAAATTCAGACTGGTATACTACCATTCATACACAAACATGCACCAGCTAAGGGATGCTGTGTTGAAGAAACCAGACCTGTCTCAATTATCAAATACAGTCTTCAACTGGCCTGTCTCAAGACCTGTGAAGGGAAGTGCACAAAAAACAAGGCAGAAAATGTTTCAAAATGCACTTGAACTAGCTTCCACCGCACTGATAATGTAGGCTGGTTGTGATCCACAGGAGTGGGACCTGTGAAGAGTGTCATCCAACCACAAGAAGCATCGGATCGGTGAAGATCCAGTGTGAGTAAAGGTGCTAACAGACCCCTCCTCCTTTTCCATGGCCGTCTGGACCTCGCCACAAGTGCCTCCAACTCTATTCTGATCTTCATACTGCATGTAGGCCGTTTCCGCTGAAAAAAAAAAAACAAACAAAAACAAAACAAACGAAACCCCTGGAATACGACACCAGGTCCATCAACAAGGAAAGCCACTCTACGAGTACCGTCTTAAGAATCGTCAATTGGCAGGTAATTCTACGAACCTCCCACGGCTCACCTGCGTACAGCTCTTCCGTCTGTCGTCGAAGGTTCCAGTGGTGCGTCTTCCACACCAGACCGCCGACGATTCCGAGCGATAGGCCCATGGCGATCTCTCTGAGCACGCTCACATTCACCTTGTGCGCCTTGACCTTCGTCGCCTGCACCTTGGGATCTGTCAGCACCTGCTTTACTCGCGCACTTGCGCTCGCGAGCTTCGACATCGCGGTAAAATAGCTGGCTAGAAGATTAGTTGGTTGCTGAGTTGACGATCACAACGCATCCGTGATGGAAGCTGTGTTCGACCCAAGACTTCCTCCGTTCGCGAGGACATCGGATTTGAAACGGATATTATCGCCAGCCATTGCGCGAAGACGATTCGATCTACCCGTGTGGCTCCTGGACCTGGGTGGAATCCCAAGACCATGGAACGCGCCGAGCAGGACATGCAGCAGCCAAAGCTTTGTTTGAAGCATGCATTTCCCTGTCTTGACTGGATCGGGGCACACTTGCCAACTGGAGAGATTTGGGAATGTGACGAAACGAATAACGAAATGACGAATTTCGCAACCAACCGGTTGTTACTTTATCGAATTGCGAGTTGACGAAAACTTGGGAGTTTGCTTGATAGATCACCAGCGGCGAATTCATTTCCTTGCTCACGAGACGCTCGCGAAAGAAGCAGGTGTTGTGTTACTTGTTGGGGCTCGGGTGCACCCAGCCTCTTCGCCCACTAATCACAGCTCAGCGATCCGAGGTGAGCAACAATGCTCCCCGCTGCTTCATCCAATCGCTTAAAACCACACTAAACCGTTTTCAAAGTGTGGCGCTGGGCGCAACTGAAATGTGCCTCCCCTGCCATGTCCGCCCTGCGTCTTTCACTTTCCAGCCCGCATCCTGCGCCGGATCCCGCGCCGCATCCCTCGCCACAACCCAAAGGTATGAAATGGCCAACGGCAACCCAAAGCTACTAGTCGCTGCCTTGCGTAATTGCCACGCAGGGCTCCGTCGCACCTTTCAACCGTCCTCGATACCAGCAGCTCCGCTACCATCCGTACTGCAACACCGTTGCCTGTCGTCTCTCCCCGCACTCGACACCGCGAAACCCGCCGCCGATTCCGGCGCCGCAGTTCCTGGAAAAACCGGATTTTCCCGCGTTTTCAGCAGCAGCAGCAGCAGCAGCGGCAGCTGCTTAAAAGATGTCACGTGTCAGCTGGAGGTGTGGAGTTGGGGCCGCGGAGATTCCGGGCAGCTGGGGCATGGCGAAGAGAATCCGGAGTGGACCCCGAGGCGAATCGAATCTCTCTCCCTCGAGATCTCCGAACTAGCCGCAGCTACAAACGCGTACGGAGCAGCAGACGCAGCAGCAGCAACCGCAGCAACACCAGAAGCAGCATTCGCCGCCGCCAAAGCAGCAGCAACCGCAGGTCAAGCAGCCACAGGCTCGAGCCGAAGCGCGTCCCTTAGTAGCCTTAAGGAGGAGTTACGAGCCGGCGTGTCTTGCGGGATCAGCCACTCCCTCCTGTGGCTAAGCGGGAGGCTCTGGGTTTGGGGGAGAGGGGACGGCGGAAGGCTAGGTCTGGGGAACGAGATTTCCCTCTTCTCCCCAACCCTAAACCCTGATTTTCCGCAGGGGACGGCAGTGCGCAGCGCGGCAGCTGGCGGGTTGCATTCCTTGGCGGTTTCTGGGCGAGGGGAACTGTTCACGTGGGGATATGGCGGGTTCGGGGCGCTGGGGCATGGGGAGTTTACCAGGAGGGACGTCCCCTGCCACGTGGCGCCCTCTGATTGGCTGGAGGAGGGGGTGGAGATCAAATCAGCAGCAGCTGGGGGGAGCCATACTCTGGGTTTAAGTACTGTTGGGAGGGTTTATGCGTGGGGGAGGGATGAGGGAGAGGGGCGGCTGGGTATCCCCCATATAGTGGACGCGATAGGAGAAGAAGGGTGCGTGCCTCGGCCAATCCCGGTCGAGTTTCCGGCGTCCCAGGGCCTGCCACGTGGCGGAGTCTCATTGGTCGCGTGCGGAGGGTTCTTCTCTGCTGCTGTGGACTGCGAAGGCGGCGTGTGGACGTGGGGAGGTGAGGGGCGGTAGTTTCTACTTACTGTTACCCACCTCCTCCCATCATTCTGTTTCATAACCACCCAGCCCTGCCTCGTCCTGGCATCACTGCCACAGCACCATCGCCTCGTCCCACGATTTCCCACTATTTACAGGGAGCGTCTAGCATCATGCCCCACCTTGCGTGCGTGCTCTCTGTTACCCACCCAGCCCTGCCTCGTCCCGGCAACATCTCCATAGCACCATCGCCTTGTCTCATGATTTCCCACTATACTATTTGCAGGGAGCGTCTAGCATCATGCCCCACCTTGCCCCACCTTGCCCCATCTTTCCCCACCGTGCCCCACCTTGCGTGCTCATATCCACAGGCAACCACAACGGCGAATTGGGGCGAGCATCATCAGGGCTCGTCCCTTCTCGCATCAGCACCATCACCACTCCAGTCACACACCTAGCTGCTGGCGGTTTCCACACCCTGGCAGTAGACGGTGAGTGTAGCAGCAAATGAGAGTGCCTTGCACTCACCTCCTCATTGCTGCTCGCATGATAAAGGCACTCTCATTTGCTGCACACACCAGCAAATGAGAGTGCCTTGCACACACCCTGCTCGCATCACCACCATCATTGCTTTTATCACAAGCCTAGCAGCTGGTGGTTTCCACACTCTGACAGTGGACGGTGAGTGAAGTAACTAATGGGTGTGGAGTGTAGTTCTCGTTGACAGGGGTGGCAGCGACAATGGGGGTGTACCTTTCACACATAGCTGAATGCCCATTGTTCCCACTTCTCCCCTCCTCTCCCCTCCTCTCCCCTGCTCCACAACCAGACGAGGGACGCGTATGGTCGTGGGGGAGGGGCGGCAGCGACAACGAGTGTTTACCTTTCACACATATCTGAAGGTCAGCTCTTTGTCTGGGGAAAGAATGCGGACGGGCAGCTTGGACTGGGAGCTGGGCAGCCAAAAATCATCGATGAGGCACACGAACTTTCTCTCCCGTCACTCCCGTCACTGGCACAAGAACAGGAATCACCCTCGGGAAAAGGGCTATTCGGTGATGCTGTTAGACGAGTGGTTTTAGACGTGTCTACAGGAACGAGCCATGGATTGTGCATATGCTTGTGCGTGCCTGCATCATAGAATGATGTAAGAGGACCTTTTTAAAGTACACACTGTACAGAGTTGTTTTGCTTACTGAAGCGCTGACACAATAAAGCTCCACTTCACTCTCTTCAGTCCGAAGAACATGACACAATCAGTCAATTGTAAGAAGGAAAACAAGAAAACTCATTTCTTCAAAATGCGTGCACGCGCTGCTTGAAACTCCTCCTCAGTAGGTTCTTTCCACTCCTCTTTTCCATTCAGCCCCTTCCCCTTCCCCTTCCCATTGCCCCTTCCTCTCCCAACAGCTACCTCTGCCCCTCCCTCTCCCTCCTCTTCACATTCCCCTTCCTCCTCTTCCTCCTCCCCTCCCCTCAGCTTCCCACCACCCTTCCCACCTGCTTTCCCACCTCTCTTCCCTGCTCCTCCTTTCCCCCCTCCCTTCCCTCCCTTCCCTCCCTTGCCTCCCTTCCCTCCGTACTTAGCCGCCAGAGAATCAAACAAGTTATCAGCAGCTTGAGCCCTCGCTGATTGGCGGTTGAGAATGAGAGCCATCAGGCCCTGGTTGCTCTCGTATTCGCTGCTGTTGGGGTCGGGGAAAGGGAAGGGAAATGACAGGAGGAAGGGAAGGGAAATGACAGGGGGAAGGGAAGAGCCTGGCTACAAAGACTCAAACAATTTCTCAGCAGCTTGAGCCCTCGCTGATTGGCGGTTGAGAATGAGAGCTCCTGGTTGCTCATCTTTGCTGCTAGTTAGAATCAAGGTATGGAAACGACAAGATGAAGGGGGAAGGGAGGAGGAGAGTGAGTGCATGTGAGGGGACCTCTGCAGCTTGAGGTCCTGGCTGCTATCATCTTTGCTGCTCGTTAGAATCAAGGTATGGAAACGACAAGAGGGAGAGGGCACGTGTTTTGAGACGTCCCAAAACGAATTAGTGACATCAGCTCCTGGTTGCTCTCATCTTTGCTGCTAGTTAGAATCAAGGTATGGAAACGACAAGATGAAGGGAGAAGGGTGAGTGCCTGTGTGTGTGTGCAGTGCATGCGTGTGTTCATGTCAGTGTGTGTGCATGTGTGTGTACATGTGTGAGTGCATGTGTGAGTGCATGTGTGAGTGCATGCATCAACAAAAGGAAAAGGAGGGAGACAAGTCAGAAGCATCCTTACTCCGCAGCAAGAGGGTCGGCAGGAGCAGGTTTCTTGGCAACTTCTGCAGCCCATCTCTTGTACGCCTTAGTAGCCTTCAGCTCGCCTGATTCGATAGCAGCATCAAGTATATCTTTGAAGCGGTGCGAGTCAACCTCCGGCCGTGCACAGATTTGGCACTCCAGCACCCTGCAACGGTGACAGAGCGAGAAAAGGAGGGAGGGAGGACAAAGAGTGGAAGAGAGAATAAGGGGGCAACCCAATAGCAGCATCAAGTATATCCTTGACATGATGCAAACCCACCTCCGGCCGTGCACAGAAGCACCCTGCGAGTGGTGAAGCAGACAGGAATCAGAAACAAGGAAGGGGGACAGAGCATGGCAGAGAGCATCGAGTATATCCTTGACATGATGCAAACCCACCTCCGGCCGTGCACAGAAGCACCCTGCGAGTGGTGAAGCAGACAGGAATCAGAAACAAGGAAGGGGGACAGAGCATGGCAGAGAGCATCGAGTATATCCTTGACATGATGCAAACCCACCTCTGGCCGTGCACAGATCTGGAACTCCAGTACCATGTGTTTGAGAGTCCACCTCCCTACTGACCATCACTCTCATCACCATCATCACATTCCCTCCAACTCACATGTCCATCCGCCCTTAAAATCGTTCATACAGCTCATTCAGTTCCTTGCCCTCCTGCTCCGACCCCCTCCCACACTCGCTCCCGTACCTTAAACACACATCTCCCCCCTTCATTCTCCCCCCCAACTCACATGTTCATCCGCCCTTTGAATCGCTCGTACAGCTCCTTGAATTCCTTGGCCTCCTGTTCTGATCCCCGGTACTGCCTCTCAAATGCTACGATGCCTGCCACTGTGATCTGGAAGGGCGAGGAAGGTGGTGGGGGGGGATGAGGGAGAAGGGAAGGGGTTCCTTGGACAACCTGCTCTGCTCCGATCCCCGGTACTGCCTCTCAAATGCTACGATGCCTGCCACTGTGATCTGAGTGGAGCGAGTGGGGTAGGAGGGGAACGGGAGAGGCAAGGATTTTCAACAAGTCAGTCACAAGAAGGACCTCTAGCTCCTTCAGCTCCTCTCCTGCTATGCCCCCCTGTACTGCCGCTCGAACGCCACAATGTCCGCCACTGTGATCTGAAGGTTGACGGGGAGGAGGGAGCAGAGAGGAGGCGAGTGAAGAGCAAGAGGGAGGGTTTATTGCACGAGTCTCAAGGGACCGAAAGCCATGTTGTCTTTTGTTGCCTCGGGTTGCTTTGCCTCCTGCTATGGCCCCCTGTACTGCTGCTCGAATGCAACGATGCCCAGCACAGTGATCTGGAGGTTGATGGGGAGGAGGGACGAGAGAGGAGGCGAGCGAAGAAAGGGAGGCACGTGATGAAAGTAGTGTTTTGAGATGTCTCAAAACACTGTGATCTGGAGGTTGACGTGGAGGAGGGAGGAGAGAGGAGGCGGCGAAGAAAGGGAGAAGAGGGAGGAGAGGGAGGAGAAGAAAAAGAGGGAGGAGTGAAGAGAGAGAGGGATTTTGCAGGAGGCGCAAGAGACCTTCAGGTCTGTAACCTACTGCTCCTACCCCCTGTAGATTGTCTGAGGAAACTCATAAAAGTTTACAGCAGTGTTCCCTGAAAGACCCTGGTAACCCACTGTACGCGTGTGCCCCATGGTAACCCACAGCACACCTGTACCCTGCATCAGTGCAAGACAGGGTTCGTTGCACCTCCCTCTCCTCTCCCCCTCACCTCCCTCTCCTCTCCCCCTCACCTCCCTCTCCTCTCCCCCTCACCTCCCTCTCCTCTCCCCCTCACCTCCCTCTCATCTCCCCCTCGCCTCTCTCTCACCTCCCCACTCTCACCTCCCCCTCACCTCCCTCTCACCTCCCCCTCTCATTGCAAGCCTAATTCTCTCTCACCTCGCTATACATCGTTCGGAAAAACGTGTAAAGGTCTGCAACGGTGTTGCCCGAAAGTCCCTGCGAGCACAAAGCACATCATGTATGCACGGCAGGGATTCTTTAGAAGACTGAAGAACAATCCGCATCAGTAAAAAAGATGATGCAAGTAGACACTACACGGGAAAGAAAATCTAGCAGCAAACGGAATGCCTACACATCAACACACACACACGTGTCTCATCATGCATCAACATACCCCACTTATCCCCTTGCTTTAACTACTCACATCCCCATGAAATCTCATTGCTGACAATCACACTCACAGTGCCATCCTTGCCGTCCCCATCGCCAGTGCAGCCAGTCTCGTCATACATCAACCCCCCCTTCCCCCCCTCTCCCCTCGATTGACCTTGCGACCCACACTCTACTCTCATTCAAGTCTCATCACGGCCAACCACACTCACAGTGCCATCCTCTCCGTCCCCATCGCCAGTGCAGCCAGTCTCATCGTATATCTTCCGCCTCTCAGCGTCTCCCAACACTGCAAACACCCGCTGCAGCGCCTGAAAGCGATCCTTGGCCGTCTGGGGGAGACAGAGGGGGATGGGAGAGAGGGGGGAGGGGAGAGGAGAGAGAGGGCGAACGATAAGATATCTTCCGTCTCTCAGCGTCTCCCAACACTGCAAACACCCGCTGCAGCGCCTGAAAGCGATCATTGGCCGTCTGGGGGAGACAGAGGGGGATGGGAGAGAGGGGGGAGGGGAGAGGAGAGAGAGGGCGAACGATAAGATATCTTCCGTCTCTCAGCGTCTCCCAACACTGCAAACACCCGCGCCTGAAAGCGATCCTTGGCCGTCTGGGGGAGACAGAGGGGGATGGGAGAGAGGGGGGAGGGGAGAGGAGAGAGAGGGCGAACGATAAGATATCTTCCGTCTCTCAGCGTCTCCCAACACTGCAAACACCCGCTGCAGCGCCTGAAAGCGATCCTTGGCCGTCTGGGGGAGACAGAGGGGGATGGGAGAGAGGGGGGAGGGGAGAGGAGAGAGAGGGCGAACGATAAGATATCTTCCGTCTCTCAGCGTCTCCCAACACTGCAAACACCCGCTGCAGGGCCTGAAAGCGCTCCTTGGCCGTCTGGGAGAGACACGGGGAGTTGGAGGTTAGTTGGATTGTTGAAAGTTTGGATGGTCAGGTAATCAGATGGTTAAAAAGGTTTGATGCTTGGGGAATCGGAGGAGATACTCCCCGTGAACCAGCACGCTCATCCGTACATCTGCTCTCCTCTTCCCCACCGCCTCCTCCCTTCCCTCACCTCGTCGCCCGGGTTCTTGTCGGGATGCAGCCGAAGCGCCATGCGGTGATACGCCTTGCGAATCTCCGCGTGCGTCGCGTCGCGATTCACTCCGAGAACCTGCGATTCGATGTCAAACGTACTCAGTGGAAGCGAAGAGTTGAGGTGAAAACGAATTAAAAGGAATTCCTCGGTTGAAAACCTTACCGCGTAAAGATCTTTCGGGTTCGCCTCATCGCCAGCCGTAGATTCCTTGTTCTTCTCATCCGAGGCCGTCGGATCTTCCTCATCTTCTTTCACAGGCTTCTCCGCAGCCGCGAAGCGAGGCGACTTGCGTCTGCTCGGCTCTCCCTCTGCTCGCTGCCTCTTCTGCACCATCTCCGGACCCACACTTAGCAGCGAGACTCACTTAACGGGCTGCGCAACGGGTAATCAGACGGAGCGAGATTTCGGAGTGCGATGTCGCAAGTCGCGACCGTGCAGGGCAACTGATTCTAGCAAATCAGATTCTAGCAAATCAGCAACGCAGACTGGCCTAGTAAATTGCTGAAAATTGTTCGCAAGCTTTCAGTGTCTCTTGAAATACGGGAAGCCGTAATCAGTTGAGCACAGACTACCTCGGACCTTCAAGAGTTGACTGAAGGAGCTGCTTGAGAGTCAATAGACCTCGGGAGTTGTTATTGTGGGATGGGGCCTGGGAATTGGTTTTGGGTGTCGTGTCCAGTACACTTCCGTTCAGCTTCCAGTGTTCACCACACTGAACCAGGGTTTAGTCAAATGAAACCGCTTTGAAACTATGCGCTGGTTCGACGCGCCCTAGCTTTCGCTCATACTGTAAAAAATGGCGGGAAAGTAGTCACGAATTTGAAGGTTCAAAACTGAAGCACTCACATGATCTGAAATTTTGAATTTGAATATATAATTAAGATAGCCTATCAGACAGTGCTAATATTTTCAGATATCTCAACGCGCTTGGACACAAGTGAGGTTTTCACTTGGCAACAGTAATTCTACCTTGTAAGATACAATCGACTGACCCAACTGAAATCAGCGCATCAATAGGCCAATTAAGGACAGAAGAATATGGTACGGGTATTGTTATTCTACCTAATACTCCATTTCATTGTCAAGTAACAACTTCTGAACAATCATCAACCAATGAGATGAAAACGGCACACACAGCATTCACATGTTACATTCCATGCTCTAACGGCCATCGATCATGGTCATCTCCCTTGGCATCATCATTAAAATCTCCAGCATATATCCTAAGACTTCCTCCCACACCCTCTGTCGCATCATCCCCCCCACCCATTCCACCTCTTCCCTCATCACCACCATTTTCATATTTCCGCGCTCGTTTTAGCTTCTTTTTCTTCTCCTGCTTCCCATCTTCAACAGCAGCAACAGCCACACCAACAGCAGCAGCACCATCCCCCACATCCTCTTCCCACTCCCCCTCTCCCACCCCCTTGCTCCGCCCCCTCCTCTTCCTCCCCTTCCCTCGTGCTCCTGCTTTTTCCCCCACCCCATTATCATCATCCCCTTCCTCTTCCCATTCCTCCTTCTGCATCCCTCTCAATCCTCTCTCCCACCTCCCCCCCTCCTCCTCTTCTTGATCCTTGAACCTATGCCTCCTCCTCCTCCTCCCACCGCTTTCCTCGTCCTCGTTATAACCATACTCCTTAGAAGCCTGGGACCTCCCTCTCCCTTCCACCTCCTCGTCCTCCTCTCCCTCACTCTCCCCTCGGTACCGATTTTTACCCTTACCTAATCTTCCCCCAGTACCATCCCCTCTTCGATACTCCCGTGCTCTATCACCTGCTGCAGCACTCCCCTCCTCTCCACTCCCCCAATCACCATCACGATCATCCCTATCCCCATCCCCATCCCAATCACCTCGTGATCCCCTCCCCCTCCCCTGCCATGGTCCCCCACCCCTCCCCCCCATCCCTCCTCTGCCTCCTACTCCTCTCTCTCCCCATTCCCTTGCTCCCCTCTCCTCTCTCCTCACCCCCATGTGTCCCTCCCTTCCTCCCTGCCACCGTCCCTCCGACTGTTTCTGCTGATGAAAGTTGGGGAACAAGAAAACAGTGGACGAGCATTGTTAGTTTTGCTTGCAATCTCAACCAGGCAAATTAACACATGCGACCAGAGAATCAAGTCACATGCAACTTGAATAAAAAGCTGCATATCTGATCAAACTTTTAGGGTCATCTTATCTCGACGCCTGAATGAAACTTTGCCTCAATTTCAGAGGCGCCTCAAGAATGCTTCCTCTGACTGACAGCACCTCAATCAAAACGCGTCCTCAAAGCTGGTGCCTCTTTCAACCTTTACACTGCCTCAAAGGTCGTGGGCCCTCATCTAAAGGCGCTTCAAGAATGCATCATCGTACAGCACCTTACCTGAAAGTTGCTGCCCCCTTCGCCCTCCCTGGCAGCAGAGAAGTTGAGCCTGCAGTGCAGGCAACAACGGAGATGCAGATGGGGATGGGGGTGGGGATGGGGATGGGATTGGAAAGGGAAAAGAGTGTGAGAGGGAGGAAGGTGGGGAAATGTGGCTAAAGAAGAAGGCAGAGGGGACATGGGGTCACCCTCCCTGGCAGTAGAGAAGTTGAGCCTGCAGGCAGCAACGGAGATGCAGATGGGGATGGGGATGGGATTGGGGATGGGCAAAGGGATGGCGAGAAGAATCAGGGGATGGGGATGGGGATGGGGATGGGGATGGGGATGGGTGTAAGCACAGTGAAGACTAGAGGTGAAGATTAGAGTCCGTCTAATCACATTATCATCTCCTTACTCACCCATGTTCCCACATCACCTCATTAACTCTCATCCATCTCCAACCCCTCACCTCTCACCACCACCCCTAACCCTAACCTCTCATCAAAGCACCTCACCTCTCGCCAATCGGTCTCTTCCTTCTCATCCTCTCTGCTCCATCTCCCTCCACATTTTCCTCCTCCCCTTCATTCACACCATACAGCCTCTCCTCTTCTCCCTTTTCCTCTCCTCTCTCCCTGCTCCTCTTTCTGCCCCTCTCCTCCTCCTCCCCTCTCTCCCTCCTCCTCTCCTTGCTTCCTCTCCTCCTCTCCCCGCCTCTCTCCCTGCTTTCCCCTCCTTCAGACTCCTGCTGCACTGAAGGGGTGTTTCGTTGCATGCTGCCTGCTCGCTCTCCCCTCCCCTCTCCCCTGCCCTCTCCCCTCCCCACACCCCTGTCCTCGCTTCCCCAGTCCTCCTCCTCCTCCCTCTCTCTCCCCCGCTGCCTCCTCTCTCCTCTTCCCTCTCCCTCACGTTCCGCTATCTCATCCCTCCCCCTAGAATCCCCCCTCTCCCCCCTACCCCCCCTGTCGGGAAAACCCATTTTCCCTCCTCCGCCCCTGCCTCTTCCCCCTCTCCCCCCAAGCCTTCCGCCTCTCCCCCTCCCCCCACCTCCACGCCCGAATGGACCAGCGCCACTGCAACCAGTCAAGGGGGAGTTGGAGAGGTGGAAAATCGAGAAGGAACGGAAGTGTGAAGAATGGGGAAAGGGAAGTTTAAGGAAGGACCAAGCGGGTTGAGAACAGTTGGGTAGCAGACGATGCAGAGGGGTGGAGGGAGAAAGAAAGGGGAATGGCGCGAGTTGGGGGAGGAACGGGAAAGTCTGGGGGAGGAACGGGAAAGGGAAAGCACGACGACAACAAAACGATAATCAACGTCACAATGTTAGATAGCAAAAAGCTAAAGGTTGGAATTAGTGTTTAACAAAAGAAAGCATTGTTCATGACTTACTCCTTGAAAGCTAACCAAGAAAATATACACCCATGGAAAACATACACTCACCCATCAGGACCGAATTGTTGGTGCCCTCCCCCTCCTTCAAATCCTTGGCCCATGCCCTGACCCATGCCCATTCCTCCTCCCATTCCAGGCCCCATGGGTCCCATCCCCATGCCCCCTCCCCCCATCCCCATACCTCCTCCCCCCATCCCCGGACCTCCCATGCCCATTCCAGGCCCTCCCATTTACCCGCCCATGCCTCCTGACATGCCTCCCCCCATGCCCCCGCCCCCAAAGCCATGCCCCATGTTGAAATCGCCTCCCATATTGGGACCCATGCCCTGGTTCCATCCGAACTCTGCCACGGGGGAGGGGAAGAGAGGGCAGTCCCGCATCATGTGATCCTTGGCCCCACACGTGTAGCAGGCGCGGTCCTGGTGGCATGAGGGACGAGACACGAGGCAGGGTGTTGGGTTTAGGTTCAGAGTCTAGAGAGGGTTCAGTGAAGTGGTATAGGTGTAAGAAGGGTTCAGAGTCTACACGTGTGCTACACTATAGCAAGGTTCAGAGTTCAAAGTCAGAGACTCTCTGTGTGGTGGGCTCTTGCAGGGTAGAGAAAGGGCACTGTGTGGTGTGCTCTCGCAGAGTAGAGAAAGGGCACTGTGTGGTGTGCTCTCGCAGAGTAGAGAAAGGGCACTGTGTGGTGTGCTCTCGCAGAGTAGAGAAAGGGCACTGTGTGGTGTGCTCTCGCAGAGTAGAGAAAGGGCACTGTGTGGTGTGCTCTCGCAGAGTAGAGAAAGGGCACTGTGTGGTGTGCTCTCGCAGAGTAGAGAAAGGGCACTGTGTGCTGGACTCTTTCATCCTTCCATGCTGGTATGCTTGCATTGCATGTTGTGTGCCCAAAACTTAGTGCCTACGAAAAACGAAAAGAATACACACCTTTTTCTTGGGCCCACCCATGCCGTGGTGCTCCATATGATCTGGTTCCATGCACACACGGACATACGGGGAAGGTATGGGAGGAGGGAGAGAGGGGGGAAGAAAAATAGGGAGAATGAGCGTGGGGAGAGGGGGGGTAGAGAGAGCGCAGGGAGAGAGCGGAGGGGAGAAGGGAGAGAGCGTGGGGGGCAGAGAGTGAAGAGAAAATGGTGCGAGCAGAGAAATGAACGATTGGAAGAGCAAAAAGAATCGGAAAAAAAAACAGGAAAAGGGTAATAAAAGCCGATGTGACTTTTTAGGCACCTCAATAACAGCCAAGTTTAGGTAAAAATGGAGGAGCAAGTGATTACAAGGCAAAGGGGGGACTTACCACCATGCCAGCCTCGCTGCTGGTTTAGCGAGGTTGTTTTTGAGACGTCTCAAAAACAACCTCGCTACACGTAGCAAGCGATTACAAGGCAAAGAGGGGACTTACCACCATGCCAGCCTTGCTGCTGGTTGTGAAAATGATCTGGCCCTCCCATATGTGGCCCTCCCCCCATTGGTCCCCCCATAGGCCCCCCCATCGGTCCCCCCATAGGCCCCCCCATAGGTCCCCCCATCGGACCCCCCATAGGACCGCCCATAGGCCCCATAGGGCCCATACGACCACCCATCGGACCCCCCATAGGGCCCGCCATAGGTCCGCCCATCCCCCCGCCCATAGGCCCCCCCATAGGCCCCCCCATAGGCCCCCCCATTGGTCCCCCCATAGGCCCCATGCCTCCCCCCATCCCAGGTCCCATGCCTCCGCCCATACCTCCGCCCATGCCTCCACCCATACCTCCGCCCATGCCTCCGCCCATACCTCCGCCCATACCTCCGCCCATCCCTCCGCCCATGCCTCCCATGTCAGAACCCATCCCCATTCCCATGCCCATTGGCCCTCCACCCATGTCCCCCCCCATGTTTGCCCCCATGTTCCCCCCCATGTTCCCCCCCATGTTTCCCCCCATGTTCCCCCCCATAGGGCCTCCCATGTGCGGAACCATCTGGCCCCCGCCCATCTGCCCCATCTGCCCCATCTGCCCCATCTGCCCCCCACCCATCGGCCCCATTGCTCCTGCTTGACCCATTGCTGTCCCCATTTGCCCATCCATATGTTGCTGCTGCTGCTGCTGCTCTTGCTCTTGCTGCTGCTGCTCCTGCTGCTTCTGTTTAAGCTTCTTTTTCTTCTTCTTCCCCTTGACCTTCTTTTCCTTCCCCGTTTTCCCTCCTTTTCCTTCCACTCCCCATTCCCCTCCTTCCCCACCTCCGCCCTCTCCCCCTTCGCCTCCTTCCTCCCCACCTTCCACTTCCCCCTCCGCACCATCCCCTTCCCCTCCTTCCCCTCCTGCTCCTCCATTCACCTCCCCATCGCCCTCAGCATAAGCACCCCCAGTACTGTCACCCTCAGGAGTGACAACCGCTGCATCAGCAGCAGCAGTGTCACCATCCCCATCCCCATCACCACCACCATCAGCACTATCACCACCAGCACCACCAGCACCATCAGCACCACCAGCAGCACCAGCAGCAGCACTATTATCACCACCAACGCCATCAGCAGCAGGACAGGTGGTGCTAGCAGGCCCTGTCACACCATCACTCACTTCATCTTCTTCCTCCTCTCCCCCTTCCTGCTGCTTCTCCGCCTCTCCCCCTTCCTCCTCTTTCCCCTCCTCCCCATCCTTCCCCCCTTCCTTTGCTACCCCCTTCGCAAGCCCCCCGGCCCCCTCCCCTTCCCCTCCGCCTCCCCCTCCCACCTCCTGCCCTTCCCTCTGACCAGCAGCCTTACCCACACGCTTGTTCGCCCCTACGCTGCCAGAAGCAGCAGGAGAAGCTGCAGCAGCGGGAGTGGCAGCAGCAGCAGCGGGAGTGGCAGCAGCAGAAGTGGCAGCAGCAGCTGCAGCGGCAGAGCCAGCAGGAGAGCGCCTGGGCTTTCGACTTCCTGATGCTGCACTATGCTCTTCCTCTGCAGCAGCAGCAGCCGCAGCAGACGCAGCTGCAGGAGCAGGAGCAGCAGCAGCAGCAGGAACGGTCTGTTTAACACCTGAAGGTCCTGCAGGTTTGCTAACGTTGCCAGGAGGAGTAACGCCCCTAGACGCACTAGAAGCCTGTGCTGCTCTGCCTGCCTCTGTCACTCTGCCTGCCTGTTGTGCTGCTCCGCCTGCTGTTACACCAGCTTCACTGCCTGTGCCACTGCCAGCCGATTTGTTCCCCCCTGCAGCCTGCTTGGCACCAGAAGTCGCTTGCTGCTGCTGGTATTGCTGTTGTTGCTGCTGCGGTTGCTGTTGGTACTGTTGCTGTTGTTGCTGTTGTTGGTATTGCTGCTGCTGCTGTTGCTGCTGCTGCTGTTGCTGCTGCTGCTGTTTGGGCTGCTGCTGCTGCCAGTGCTGTTGCTGTTGTTGCTGCTGTGGCTGCTGCTGCTGCCAGTGCTGTTGCTGTTGCTGCTGTGGCTGCTGCTGCTGCCAGTGCTGTTGCTGCTGCTGCTGCTGCTGCTGCTGCTGCTGCTGTTGCTGTTGTTGCTGCTGCTGTTGCTGCTGCTGCTGTTGCTGCTGCTGCTGTTGCTGTTGTTGCTGCGTTTGCGGAGGCTGCACCTGCCCCTGCGCCTGAACCCCAGGTTGTATCTGCCCCTGCTGCATCTGCCCTTGCTGCATCTGCCCCTGCTGCATCTGCCCCTGCTGCATCTGCCCCTGCTGCATCTGCCCCTGCTGCATCTGCCCCTGCTGCATCTGCCCCTGCTGCATCTGCCCCTGCTGCATCTGCCCCTGCGCCTGAACCCCAGGTTGCAACTGTGCGGCCTTGAAGCGATCAACAGCCTGGCGGAGTGTCATGTTGGGCAGGAGGTCATCGTTGCGGTACTGGGTGGATGAGCACTTGGGGCAGCTCCCTTTTGCCAGTAGCTGCTGCCGAATGCCTGGGAGGAGGAAGAGAGAGGCAGGGAGAGGAGGGGGAAGCGAACGGAGAGGTTTCAGAGGTGGGATTGAGTGGTCAACAGCCTGGCGGAGTGTCATGTTGGGCAGGAGGTCGTCGTTGCGGTACTGGGTGGACGAGCACTTGCGGCAGCTCCCTTTTGCCAGTAGCTGCTGCCGAATGCCTGGTGGGGGGAGCAGAGCGGGCACTTGAGCTCTGGAGGGAGGTCAACCCCACTTGACTGCCGCATGGAAACGGCCGCATGCTACCATGCTGCTATGCATACCGCGAGCATTGAGGTGATTTTTTAGGCGCCTCAAGAATCACTTGAGCTCTGGACGGAGGTCAACCCCGTTTGACTGCCGCATGGAAACGGCCGCATACACATCACTCACATATACACATCACTCTACCGCATACACCCACCCTACTGCCATGCCTTGCCATATACACATCACTCACTCACCCTGCCACACACACACAACCACCCGCCACTCACAGTGGTCACAGAAGGAGAGGTGGCGGCAGGGGATGGGAACCTCATTGCGGAAGAGAGAGGAGCAGAGCGGGCACTCGAGCTCTGGTGGGACCTCTGCTGCCCACCCATACACACAAACACCCACCCACCCACACCCGCCACTCACAGTGGTCACAGAAGGAGAGGTGCGGCAGGGGTGAGCACCGCATTGCGGAAGAGCGAGGAGCAGAGCGGGCACTCGAGCTCTGGTGGGACCTTTGCTGCCCACCCCCCACTCACTGTTGCCCACCCCATACACACAAACACCCACCCACCAACCACGCAGCACTCACACTGATCGCAGAAGGAGAGATGGCAGCAGGGAACGAGCACCACTCGCCCTGCTGCCATGCCGCATCCACACAAATGCACCCACCTGCCACTGACACTGTTGTCACACCACTACACTACACCTGCCCGCCACTCACACTGGTCGCAGAAGGAGAGGTGGCAGCAGGGGATGAGCACCGCATTGCGGAAGAGCGAGGAGCAGAGCGGGCATTTGAGCTCCGGAGGGACCTCTGCTGCCTGTGGCTGCCGCATGGGGGCAAGAAACGGTTCTGTCTCCTCCCTTGCGAAGGCTTGCCTGGTGGTTGGAAGAGGTGGGAAAGGGTAACAACGGGACGGGGGGTTCGTCCGATCATTGCTGACTTTCATTATTGCTTTTCATTATTGCTTTTCATTATTAGACCACTGACTTCCCTGGCTCCCTCCCACAGCACAAAATCACAGCACACAAAAGAGCCACTCACTCGTTGCCTTGCTGCATGTCGTGCTGTGCGCCCATAGACGCCATGGACCCATCCGGCATGAGGTAGCCCCTTCAGTGGTCAGGTGGAAAAAATACCCTTCATTCACAGAAGAATTGGCACTGACAATTCATCCACTCATATACGATACAAGCCAAGAGCAACTCACTCGTTGCCTTGCTGCATGTCATGTTGTGCGCCCATAGAAGCCATTGACCCATCCGGCATGAGGTAGCCGCCTCCCTGGTCTGATCTGGTCACAGGGGCTCTGATCTGGTCACAGGGGCTCTGATCTGGTCACAGGGGCTCTGATCTGGTCACAGGGGCTCTGATCTGGTTGCTCCCGCATCACATCGAACAACCAGCCACAGACACCCACAACCACTAGCCACTCACTCGTTGCCTTGCTGCATCTCCTGCGCGCCCATAGACGCCATGGACCCATCAGGCATGAGGTAGCCCCCTCCCTGGTCTGGGCGCAGGAAGCTCTTGGGGATGCCCGAGGGGGGCCGCACCCTCCTCACCACGTCGAACGCTGGATCGCCGTTAGTGGGGCAGTGCTTGATGTAATGACCTGGAGGAGAAGAAGGGAAAGGGGAGGGGGGAAACAGTGACTTACACTTGAATTATGTAGGAAGGGGGATTCGCAGCCGCCCCATCACGTCGAATGCTGAATCGACGTTGGTTGGTGGGACAGTGCTTAGTGCGGTGGCCCAGAGGGATAAAGGCTTGAGAGGAAAGGGCATGAGGAAAGGGCATGAGGTGAAGACTCGCTGCTCTTAAACTCTTACAGCAGCAAGTGCAAGCGATCACGCCGAGCTCCTTCTGCCATACCTGGTTCGTTGCACCGGTTACAGATGGTAGCAGATATAACTGGTACTGAATTGTCTCGAGAACATACCTGGTTTATTGCAGCGGTAGCAGATGTAACCGGGATGTGGAACTGCATTTCGTTGGGGAAAGGGAAAGCGCCCTGAAAACAAATCGTCACAAGCACACAGCCACATGCACAATCGCATGCACAGTCACAGACACACACTCACAGACATACAGACACAGACACATGCACACAGTTACATGCACACAGACAGACACATGCACAGAGTCACATACACACACTCACATACACACAGACACAGTCACATGCACAAAATTGCAGAGCAGAGGAAAAGACACGAGTCCCAAGCTGAATACATGCACACACAGATCCCAAACAGCGGCTTTCAGATCCATCTTTCCATCATGCATGTGAAAAAACAGCTTTTGCATCATCGCAGTGCTTCTCGGGGGGAAAACATTCTATAATAGCATAATTGCATTGCTTTGAACTGCATTAAAGAAGATTGCTTTGGGCATGATACGTACCACCACCACCTCCTCTGCCGTAGAATCCTCCTCGGCCGTAGCCACGGCCCCCAAACTGATCTGGAGGCCTGCATCAGCACTCAGAAGAGGAGAGGAGGAAAACGTTTGGAAAATAAATAAATAAATAAATAAAATCAAATAGACTCACACATGTGGCCACGTCCCCGCCACGCCCCCCTGCAAAAGCATCTCTAGAATAACCTCTGCCACACGAGTGGCAAGCAAAACCAACTGCACACTGGCGAGCAGGCAGGCAGGTAGACAGACAGGCAGGCGGGCAGGCAAGCAGCTCACCTCTGCCAGTCCGTGGTGGCCTGGTCCACAATGGCAGACATCATGCGCGTCTCCTCATGCCCCACATGCCCCCATGCTCCCCATGCCCAACACGCCCCCATGCTCCCCATGCCCCACACGCCCCCATGCTCCCCATGCCCCACACGCCCCCATGCCCCCCATTCCTCCCATAACCCGCCCTCGGCTCAACTCTGCCAGTCCGTGGTGGCCTGATCCACAATGGCAGACATCATGCGCGTCTCCTCGTCCACCTGCTCCTGCACTCCATGCTCCCCGTTCCTCCCATAACTTTCCTCCTATAACTTTCCTCCCATAACCACCACCCCCCCCCCCACTTCCCCCACCCCTCCACCCCCGCGCTCACCTCTGCCAGTCCGTGGTGGCCTGATCCACAATGGCAGACATCATGCGCGTCTCCTCATCCACCTGCTCCTGCACACTCGCCCCCACGCCCGCCATGGCCCCCATGGCCCCCATTCCTCCCGCCATCTCCCCGCCTTGCCCCACTCCCCCTGCCCCCATCCCGGGGCCCCCTTGGCCGTTTGTGGCGCCCAGCGCTCCCCCTCCCGCTGACGCGCCCATGGCGTTGGTGGGCGGGGCTGCTGACGTGGCAGCAGGGCCTGACGCGGCAGACATGGACACGTGGCCGCCGACATCACCGTAGATGTCTGCCAGGTCATCCATCATGCCGTCCATGTCATTCTGACGAGGCAAGAAGGAACATATGCATAAAGAAGAAAAGAAGTAGAGGGATAACAAGCTTAATGTTAACAAACAAGGTCGTTGAATCAGCCTCACAGTGCCACTCAGCTTCTGTGGCGCCTCAATAGGCGACATGCTACCACAGTCCCACATGCTTCGGACACTGTAAGCTTCACAAATCAAGATAAAGCCCGAAACGTAGCCCTATGTGCATTCACAGACCAGCACATTGATATACCGCTCATTGCTGCTGCTTGTAGTCCCCTGTAACCGGTGAAAAGCGCGTGCTGCTGCGCCCAGTTTAAGATGCCTCGGAACGCCACGGTTTGTCCTGCAACTCACCAGCTGCTGGTTGTAGCCCTTGTATGCCGGGTAAGAGGGTGCCTGCTGCTGCTGCTGCGCCTGAGACTGGGCCACAGCAGTAGCTGCACCAGCACCACCAGCACCGGCACCACCACCAGCGCCAGCGCCAGCACCAGCACCAGAAGCAAAGGGAGCGCCAGCGCCGGAGGCATGACCACCAGGTCGGAAACTGAAGGACGGGACGCAGTTTCCAAGAAAGGACATATGCTTTAGGAGTCTCAATGATGAAAGGACACATGCTGCTTTGCCGGGTCACAGACTCTCTGAAACGGATGTGTGCATACTCGTCTGACTTCTTGAGTATGAGAGGAGCTTAATTTCACCCTGTAAGCAACTAGAGGTGTTTGCAAGTGGGCACATACTCATCTGGCTGCAAGTGGCCTAACTTAAAGCCTAATTTCACCCAGTAAGCAACTAGAGGTGTTTGCAAGTGGGCACATACTCATCTGGCTGCTGTTGGGGCTGCGGCACCACCCGGGCTCTTGATCTTGGAAATGATGACGCTCGTGTTGCGCGGGACTGGCTGGTTGTCGTCGCCATACTCTGCAACCCCATGCAGCCAAGCACTAGCATGGATCCATGCACTATGAACTGAACTGATACTGGATTGTCACTGAGTACAGTGCACCACTGAGCGCTATGAATGAATCACTAATAGCACCCCGAGCCACTAATGAGGTGCGAAAACGAAAATGCGGCTACCCTATATTCTAACAAACCTCCCTCGGAATATCCCAAAAAGGGTAATTCTAAAGCAGGAGACATAATCAAATTCAGAAACACGGAAAAAGGAACACAGAAACTGAGGGGTTGTGTTGATGCAAAAATGGACTTTAGCGGAAGCGAAGCACGTGGTAAAGCAGCGGGAAAGCAGCGGGAAAGCAGCGGGAAAGACAAAACATATTGGTACGGAAACATAATGGGTGATGCCATTGCCAATGCGACATAGCGTTGCTGAGAGCTGAATTCTCAACCCTGAAGAATCAAGTATGTAAGGTAAAGCATCGTTCTGCTGTGTCTGCGAGCAAGTAAGAACCAGTACGAGCGGGCGCATGCTTGATCCGCTATGTGCGAGCCAGTAGAGCTACAGGCAGCGCTGTCTAGGTCTGTCTAGATGTGACTAGCTCTGTACAGCTCTGTCTAGCTCAGTCTAGCTCTTTTCAGCTGTGAATAGCTCTGTCCAGCTCTGTCCAGCTCTGTCCAGCTCTGTCCAGCTCTGTCCAGCTCTGTCCAGCTCTATCTAGCTCTTTCTAGCTGTGAATAGCTCTGTCCAGCTCTGTCCAGCTCTGTCTCTGTCCAGTTCTGTCTAGCTCTGTACGGCTTCTAGTTGTGACTAACTCTGTCCAGCTCTGTCTAGCTCTGTCCAGCTCTGTCTGACTCCGTCTAGCTCCGTCTAACTTCGTCTAGCTCCGCCTCCCTTTATCTCCGTCTGGCTCCGATTAACTCTGTCCAACTCTGTCTAGCACTCAATCAGCATCGTTGCCAAAGCCGACGCAAGCTGCTGCACCTGATATTAGGTGGAAATCCACCAGGTACCAAGACCTACCGCCTGGTAGGCACCCTCGTGACGACTGTGGTGGTCTAATTCGCGAACAATCATTCATGATGACCAATTCATGAAGACTCATGAAGAGCAATCTGCCTGTAAGAAATCTCGTGCAGATGTAACCCTAAATAATCGTCCAACGTCCTGAACCATCACCCCCCCCCTTCCATTTCTTTCAATAAAAAAATGAATAAACATATGAACAGAATGGATCGGCCAGCGGCCAAAACCAATCTAAGGAAAACAATATACCCTAGCTAAATCTAAGACACAGCACATAGGGAGAAATCCCAAGTGCCGTTGCTATCTCCTACCTTCCTCTGTTTGCGCATCGAAAATCTGGACATCCGAGTCCATTCCGAGACCTTTCTGCTCAATAATTCGGTCCTTAAGATTCGCGACGGAAATAAAGTGGCCATCCATGGCCAGCGAATCAAACTCCTTTTTTTTTTTTTTTTTTTTTTTGAAATGAATCGACATGGTCGAGGCTGAAGCAGCTGTCCCGAATTCTGCTACTTTTCCCTCTCCTTCCTTCGATGAAAGATGTAAACTTCAAGAACACGTAACACGTTCTTAAAAAGACGAAAGCAAAACGAATAGGAAACGCGTCCCAACGCGAAATCGTCAACGGAGGTGAATCAAGGTAAAGGAACCTCAGGTGTTGTCGGTGCGATGGATCAGATGTCCTCGAGATTGTCAGATGAAATGACAGATGGTGATGGAAACGGAGTTATCATGGTGATGAAGAGAGGGGATGATGGTGGTGGCGAGACACCGCGCTACAAGCAAACCCGATACGTGTCGACAGGTATCTGGTCAGCTGCAAGACTGATTGTACAGATGACATCATAGTTCAATCATACCTTCCATATATATCTGGTAGTCCTGTTATGTAAGCACATTCTTCTGACAGCGTGATTATAAAGCTTGTCTGCACTATATCAATCTAGCTGTTACATTCACCTAAATCAACATTCAATGCTGAACCCATAAGCATAATCCAACCACAGGCTTGACGTGAAATGGTTAATTCCACTAAAAAGGTTTGTCTCTAACATGATCATGCCGACGAAAAGCCCGAATGCTATCAATATCACACTATAAGCAACGCTAGACCACAGACACTGCGCAAGTGGACAGCCGGACACACAGGAAAGCACTCCTTACAAGGTTCCATACAAAAAACTCTCACATCACAAGTGCTAGTCATCGAAATCCCAACCATCTTCATCCTCCTCCCCTCCACCACTCTTCCCTTTAACAACCACCAATTTGCTCGTCGTTTGCTTTTTCTTAGCTGCTGCAACTGTCGAGCCACTCTTACCAGCACTCCCAATTGCCTTCCCTCCTCTCACTCCTTTCTTGCCTCCAGAAGAGCTGCTTCCCCCGAAACCAAGTGATGACCCAAGCTCTCCCCATCCAATATCCTCCTCCTCCTTCTCCTCCTCCTCATCCACCCATCCTGTCCGCACCGGTTTCTTGCTGGTGGCGCTTCCGCTGGTCACGCTGGTAACACCAGTGCTGCTGATGCTGGCAACCGCACTGGTAACACCGCTACCAGCACCCATCACCGATGCAGCAGCAGCAGGAAGAGCAGCAGCAGCGAGAGGAGCAGCGACAGGGGCGGAGGCAAGAGCAGCAGCAGTAGGAGAGACAGAAGAGGAGATAGCCGGCTTGAATAACAAAGGCTTGCCACTGCTACTGCTGCTGCTGCTGCCGCTCCCACCAGCGGCACCGAAGGGAGACTTAGACCCTCCTCCTCCCAGCTTTAAGGAGCTACTAGTAGGCGATCGAACCTCCACCTCCATTGCACCCCTCCCCAAGCCTCCCCCTCCTCCTCCTCCTTTCTCCCTCCCCACTCTCTCCCAATCGTCCCCATCCCCGTCCTCCTCGTCCCAGTCCCACTGTTCTCCCGATCCCCTACTCCCACCCACACCGCCCCCCTTGCTTCCAAACCCACTGCCTGTATTCCCATCCGCCCCAGCAACACTCTCATACATAGGGCCTTCCCCATGCCTCGCCCCGCCCCTGCAGCAGCAGAAGCATACGATGAGTACTACAAGGGAACCCAGAATTGCCAGGGTAAATGCCCCTAGCACGAGGTACACCGCGAAAGTTTCCGCGTTTGCCGCGCCGACAAAGGGGTAAATGATGGTCCTAGTGGAGAGAATCAAGGGCTTTAAGAGCTGGATGAGGGCTCGCTTGATGGACAGCAAGAGAGTGGCACTGCTTCTGCTGCTGCTGCTGCTGGGGGGAGTGGTGGTTTCAGGTGCGGTAACCTGGTTACCAGACGAGGGGGCTTGGTCGGTTTCCCCAGAGAAAGCGCCCTTGCTGCTGCTATCGCTCTTCCCACCACCAGTGTCAGTACCAGCACCAGCACCACCGGCACCAGCACCAGCAGCACCACCACCTGCACCAGCACCACCACCGCCAGCACCAGCACCACCCCTATCTGCGCCAAACGCACCCTCTCCCCCTACCTCTCCCCCCGCCCCCTCCGCCTCCCCCTCCCCCGCCCTCCCCCCGCGCTGCCCCTCCGCCCATGGTTGCTCATCCACTGTCGCTGCTCCCTCCTCCTCTTCCGCACCCCCTTCCGCAACCCCCTCCGCACCCCCCTCCCCACCTCCCTCCTCACCCCCTTCCACCCCCAACCCCCCAGCACCCTCCTTACCAATGGCCCCTGCACCCTCCCCATCTCTCTCCCCCGCAATCCCCCCACCTCTCGCCCCAGAACCCTTTCCCGTGGTCTCCCCAACCCCTTCCCCAAGCCCACCTCCTTCATCCCCCAATGATGCTTGCTCTATGGATTCCTCTACCGCCTTCTTCTCCCCCTCCGCGTCTAAACCACCTCCCCCTTTCCCCTTCCCCTTCCCCAGCCCCTGCGCCAGCCCCTCCCCTTCCCCCTCCCCTTCCGCCTCCCCCCTCGCCTCCGCGTCTCTGTCTGCTGCTGTCTTGCGCGTGCTTCCCCCCCCACTACCTGTCAACCCGCCTCCTGCTCCCCCTTCCCCTCCTGCCCCAATCTTCCCAACACCCACTTTCCCCGCACCTTCCTCCCCCTCCTCCGCCTCTTCCCCCACCACTCCCGCCCCCTTCCCAGTAGCCTCGCCTTTCGTCGCCCCTTCCCCAGTCACATCCCCCTTCCGCTTCTTCCCCCCAACATCCGCCTCCGCCCCAGCTTCCTCCTCCGCTTCCTCCCCCAATTCGTCTTCTCCCCCCCTGCCCGGACCACCCACACCGCTTTTTTTCTTATTCACTGTTTTCCTCGGCGGATCAATCTCCGCTTCCACAATGTCCGCCGCTTCCGCCGCGCCCTCTGCTTCTTCCGCCAACCCCGCGTCGGCGGGGCCTTCACCGACCCTACCAGGGGGGATCTCCGCGTCGTCTTCCGCCTCTTCCGCGTCCACGGGGCTCCGCGCGAGAGACCTGATTGGTCGGTGCTGACTCAGCTCCAGCTGGTCAGTCGCGAGATATCTGATTGGATGCGACGAGGCGCGCAGATCTGATCCGCCGCCCAACAATTCTGTTTCCACTGGGGGTGACCTAGAACGTGGATCGACATCGGGATTGCCGAGACTAGCCTTGGCAGTGGCGAAATGGGCCTCGGGACTGCCGGGTAACGGTTCAGGAATGTGGAGGTTGGCCTCGAAGTTGCCGAGACGACCCTGAGGGAGAGGGGGATTGGGGGGGAGATCGAGATCACGAGGGATCACGCGGGAGAGACTCAGGAGAAGCGGGACCAGATGAAGGGAGAGGAAAGAAGGAACAGGACGAGGGACTCGGAACGAAAGTAATGGTAATGGAAGGATGTCAGCCTTGGGATTGCCGAGATCAGGAGGGTGAGACGACACACGGAAAACGGACTGGGAACTGAAATCGGATTAACTTATTAATAAAATGTCAAATTAGGGATCGGAATGGGGAGGAGGGGAGGAGGTGGAGGGGAATAGCAACTAGAGTGCAACTGGTCAGTGCTAGTAGTGTCACCAATTGAAGTACTAAGTAGCTCTAAACAGGTCTTATAGATATTACGGAGGAATTAGCAAATGATGCGGCATCAGTGTCGCCAAGCTAGATCGAGCGGGCTTCACGCGAGAACGCTAAGGAAAGGCCAAGACAGATCCACCTGTGACGATCCCAAGTTCGGGGAAGCTTCTTCGAGACGAGTATCCATAAGGGGTGGAGCGGGGCGAGCGGCTGCGAGCGGCGTCAGCGTCGCGACGACGACGAGGAGCAACGCGACCAGCGGGATGCCGTGCCGCGACCAACGGAACGCGGCCATTCGTTCTTTCGCAGCCATTGCTGCTGATTCTATGATTCTATGACAAAATCGATATGGTCAAGACTCCAAGGTCAAATTATTAAATCCGGTGTTTATGCTACAGACAACAAGAGCATTTGGCCGAGTGGTTAAGGCGTGTGCCTGCTAAGTACATGGGCTCTGCCCGCGAGAGTTCGAATCTCTCAGTGCTCGACGCGTTTTTTCCTCGCCTATGTCCTGTTGGGCTTCTCGTTTTACCTCCTTTCCCAATTCCTCAAGCTCATGGTGTCCTTGTTTTGTTGTTAGCCTAAGTGCCATGGATCTCCACTCCACTCAACACATTACTGCTCTCTCATGTTGGTTATCACCGCAAGCCACAGGATCCGTATGTTGGAAACAATTAATTCTAAGCGCCTCTGTCGTGTCAAAACACCAAGTCAGAAGCGAAGCGAAGCATATCGAAGCACTGGCGAGTCAACCCTCGGAGGTTGAGCAGTTGCTGGAGGTTACGCGAAAGTCAAAGGTCAGCGACCTTTGACCTGACAAATACAGCGCGACAGCAAGGACACACAACTGACTCGCTACAGAGCAGTTGCCCGAGTCGTCACTGTATCGAACCGCAACAGCAACAGTAAAGTAGTTACAACCGTATCTCTTCGTATTCCTTGTACTCTTATATAATCTTATATCTCTTTGCTTTAATCAATTCACTTTGCCCTCACATACTAGCGCAAGGTGGTTCAACTACTCCATTAAACGCTTCCGCTAATTACAACAAGTCCTACCCAGAGTTCAACCCTGCAAAGATCCTAAGGGCTTTTCTCAGCCCAACATGGTATGAGAGCTAACAGGGGGAACTCAACTACCATCAAGTTATCTACAACGTCAGAAGGCATGGCAACACAAAAGGAAAGGAGCTCCTCTAACGGCTCCCCGGGTACTACTCCTACTCCACCTCCTGCCTCTGGCCTACAGACAGAGGAGGGTACGGCAACAAGACCAAGAGCAACTTCTACCGAGACTCCCGCGAATCAACCTGCAAGCTTCGATCAGAACATGATGGATAAATTTTTCTCCTTCATGTCCTTCTACGAGCAACACCAACAGTCGGCACCTGCGCAGTCAAACAACAGCAACAACAACAACAACGTGACTCCAATGAGCCTTGATGGTTCATCCTACGCACGTGGAAATCAACAGCAGCAACCTACCTTTGCTCCGTACGAGCCCCAGCGCGGCTCCGTCAGCTTTATGCCACAACCACATCCTGCACCTGGACAAGAGAAGACACTGGACGCACTTCAAGTTCAGTCGCAGTTCGCGCACGTCTTAAAACTGCAGACGTCAAGGCCCTTCGACGGAAAGGACTTCTTCACCTGGTCATTCGAGTTCGAATTGATGATGGAAGGCGCGCAGATTCTTGGCTTCTTTGACGGATCCCTGCCATACCCAACACACGGCACACAGTATGACAAACAGCAGTACACGTATCAGTCAATGATGGCGTACACGATTCTACTGAGGAACATCACTCCAATCAGCAGCAGAACATACGATCTTACCGGGGATACGGCAACTCCGCCGAACTCGCATACAGCCACTTGAAGAGCCTGTATCAAGCAACAGACAGCGTAAATCAGAGTCGGTTGATGGCGCAACTGACAACAGTCGAGATGAAACCAGGCGAAAAAGGAATGGCGTATATCAGTCGCTGTCGCGAATTGCGCGACAAACTTCTTCGATGTGGAGGACCAATCTCAGAAGAAGCCTTCGTCACAGTCGTCATCACTGGTCTTGGTCCACACTGGCGCTCCACCCGCGCCATACTCCGAGCTCACGGGAAGATCTCCGAAGCAGCACTCTGTGCCGAAATCCACGCCGAACAGCAAGACATGGACCTGCAAGAAGAACGGCACAAGAAGAAAACATCAGTACCCGAATTTGCGTTCCACACTCAACGACGCTACAACAACAACAACAGCCGACATCAACCAAAGCCTGTACCTCCGTTCTGCCATCTCTGCAAGACGTCAGGACATCCGCGCACACACTGCCCGAATCGACAACAGTCAACACCGCCACAGCGACAGCTTCGACCTTCAAGCAGCCAAGTCGCTTCAACACAAGCGAACCCCACCGCTCAAGTTCAAACAACATCAACGGGACAACCTGCACAAGGAGCAAGAAATATCGTCAGTTGTATGGCAAGACTCTCCGACTCTTGCATCACCGAATCACCACCAACATACTCACCCGAAGAACTTCTTGACGAAAGCACGCCGCGCCGCGAGACACTGGAGCCGAACCCAACGTACGCAGCTATCGCCCAGAGTGAGCCGTCCGGGAAAGATACCTGGTTCTTGGACAGTTGCTGCGGGCAGCATATGTGCTCTTCGGGTCGTTTCGTTCAACGAGAACAGCAACTTCACCGCGAAGTCGTCATCACCGTCGCCAACAACCAGAACCTGCGCACACGACGACAAGGAATTGTACAACTTCAGTCGCGAGAGACAAACGTCATTCTACAAATGTCAAAGGTTTTAATTGCGGAGGGACTTGGCTACAACTTACTGAGCGTCAGTCAGCTGATGGCGAAGGGTATCCATCTCGAAGCAGACGGCACTACACAGGAGTTCAAACTGTATAACGGCAGGGGAGGTCTCTATATCGGGAAGGCAGTGCTGAAAAACAACGTCTTCGTTCTCGACTTCGTCCCGGACCTTGGCACCGCTGACAGCGACGCCATCGTGATCTTCACCTCCTGGACACATCCACCGGATCTTGACCCAGACTTCAGTCCTGGAGGCTTCTGGTACTCGGAAACCATTCCTGAAGCAGAAAGAACAAGAGCGTTAGCGACAATTCAACATTCGGCAGCAGCAGAGACAACATCGGCAGTAGCAGAGACAACATCGGCAGCAGCAGAGACAACATCGGCAGCAGCAGAGACAACATCGGCAGCAGCAGAGACAACAACGGCAGCAGCAGAGACAACGGCAACAGCAGTGGCAACATCAACACCAATCGCTGGTCCTTCAACGGCACCGATCTTTGACGACGACACACCACCGACACCCGCGCAGCAGCTAAACCCGGCACCACGAGAAGTTCATCGAAGCGCCAACTTCACCGCCAGCTTCTACTCCAACTCCGACATGTACCGCCGCTCACCCGGACACCGCGCCAGCGAAGAAATCTGGCATGCACGGATGGGACACCCAAGCAACACAACGTTAAACAACACGATAAGAGCAGGAGTGCTCGACAAAGATTCGCTCCTACTACATGACGGGAGAGAACTCCAACGAGTAAAAGGAACGTGCTTCACATGTCCTGAAGCCGACTTACCGCATCAGCCGTTTGTCCCTCACCACAACCCGAGTGCACCAGCATACGCACCGCTTGAAAAGGTGTACAGCGACATCCTGTACAATCGCGTACCAGGACAAGGAGCTTACAACTACACCATCACCTTCATCGACGCTGCCACCCGATACGTTTGGCACCTGAACCTTCCGAGTCGCGACATGGCTTTCGAAGCCTTCGTCGCCTGGCTTCCAGCAGCAGAACGAGAGTCCGGAGTGAAGCTAAAGAGTTTTCAGTCAGATGGAGGCGGAGAATACACCTCACAACGCTTCAAGGACTACCTGGCAGAGAAGGGAATCAAGAGGCTCATCTCCCTTCCTTACGCCCATCAACGGCAGGGTGTAGCAGAAAGAATGATCAGGACCCTTCAGAACACCATGCGCAAACTGCTACGTGGCATGCGGCTACCCAACCACCAGTGGCCCGAGGCAATGGACCACACCGTAATGCTGCACAACTTGCTTTCGTCATCATCGCTTCCGAACAACGCATCACCGCATCTGCTGTGGACAGGAAAATTGGGCAGCAAAAAAATGTTACGAGTCTTCGGCTGCATGGTACAGTACCGACCTCCATCTGCAAGAGCCGGCTGATTCTCCCAACGCGCACAGTGAGGACTACACCTGGGCATCGAAAAGAATTACAACGCATGGAAGATTTTTTACGTTCATACCAAGGAAACAGTGGCAGCACGTGATGTCATTTTCTACGAACGACTCACCCTCGACTCCTACCAAGCCAATGTGGAAGAACAACGCGACCTCACCAGTGGACTTCGTGGAGACCGAGCCTTCGCTTCCGCAGCAGACGAAGCTGACTGGGACGAGCAGAATGTGGACAGAGCCTCGGAGGAAGCCGGACCTCTCCCTTACTGCTCCGTTAATGTCCCAATGGATGACGAAAACCCTCGCGAAAGCGCCAACGCCGAAGTATTTTACCACTTCGCCGACAACGGTTACGTTACACCTGCAGATGTCAACACCAACGAAGCAGCACGCATAGGGCCCAACTTCATACCTGACCCAGAAGCAGGTGACGAAGCAGCTTATCCCGCGGACACCACACTCCCCCGCTACACACAGAGTGGCCTCCAGATACTTGGCCTCGTCACCGCGGTTCACGGCACTGCGATCCCTAAGGAGCCTGCCACAGTTCAGCAGGCTCTGGGGGGGGAGCATAAGGAAAAATGGCGCGAAGCCATGGACAAGGAGCTGAAAGCACTGGAGGAACGCAACACCTGGAAAGTTGTTCCCATCGGAGTGGCACGAAACAAGACTATACTCACCGGGAAGTGGGTCTTCCGTGTGAAGACAAAGGCGGACGGCACCATCGACAAGTTCAAAGCACGATGGGTCGTACGCGGATTCGACCAAGAACATGGGCGCGACTTCACTGAGACGTTCGCCCCAGTCAGCCGACACACGTCATTACGAATTCTTCTCGCGATCGCCGCCATGAAGAAGAAGAAGCTGCGGCAAATTGACGTCGCCAACGCATTTCTCTACGCACCTGTCGACGCAGAAATCTTCGTCGAGCTACCGCACGGCTCCAACGGAGAGCCTAACCAAGTCTGTCAGCTGTTGAAGTCGCTCTATGGCATCAAACAAGCTCCGAGGTTGTGGCAATAGTACCTGCATGCAAGACTCATTCGCATC